TTTATAAATTTTTTTCTTGTATCAACCTAACGTCCTTCAGTACCCTTTATATATTTACAGCCCACATTTGGCCAAATTGATCGGAACTCCTTCTCAGGCAATCCTCCGGTTTTTTTCAAAACGAATTTCTTTCTACATTCGCTTCCTGCCAACGCTTTTAGGGCGCTCTTTTCTCCTTCTTCCCCTTGGTCCTTTTCCGCTTCTCGCTTTAATATTCTATTTGGAATAGTATAAGGTACTAGGTCTAGAATTCGCGAGATTTTAATTCTTTTATTAATTCTGAATACCAAAGTTTTTGGTCTCAAACCGTGTTTGCATGTCTTATTATTGTATCGTAGATATTTGACATTTCCCTTGTCAACCACGATACTCGTAACTCGTATCTAGCCAGCGATTGATGGTTTTATTGATAAAACATTTTACAAGGCTTGTTTAAGGGACGTTATTTAAATATATGTATATTCAAAATTAAGACATATTTCAGAAAATTATTTAATGTTATATTATAAAGAAGAAAAATTTGATAGGCTCCAAAAATACTGGATCGATTAAAAATATTCTTTAACAATAAAAATCCTACATTATCCCTGATGAACATAGGCTGAGGAATATTTAAAAAAAAGTTAAAGAACCGTTACGATCTTCGATAATGTGAAATAAATACTCTTAAAATTACCGTGCACGCCGGATACTATAGACAGCAGAGAAAAGTGATGTAATACAGTTTTAAAGAAGATATCAATATCTACAAAGTCTGACATACTATATGTCTAATTACAACATATTATAGCCAGTTGTGCGCATCCAGGACTGAACGCTAGACACGGTAGGCATTACTTTCATAATCAACAGCTATCTTTATATAACTACTAATATAACGTAGATATTAAAATATATATTTAATTTAATATACATCAATTTATCAACGAGGTCGGAAACATTAATCTCGGTTAAGAATTTATTTGCGGAAATCGTTTATCAAAATTTAAACATAACAATCAAATATACAGTATTTAAAATTTTCTTAACCTACATAGTAATAATAAAAATAATTCAAAATAAAATAAAAAGAAATTTAGGCTGGGATGTATTATTAATAAATACATAAATAAATATATTCTTTCATTTTTTTTCTGGTATGGCTTGAATACTTGTCCGGTTTTCATTTCTTGTTATCATTAGAAGGCAATAAAAATTATATTTATATAAAAAGTATGATACAGTTAAATAAAATACTCAGACACTTTTTTTACTCGTATGTGTACGATGCGCAAACTTTCCCCCACTCCCTTGTTTAATGCTCAAGAAGTTTGCCGGTATCTGTAACTTTAACGCTGGCAGCATTTCCTCGCTGAATTGCGATACTTATTCGTTTATCAGTACCTATGTTGTTAACACAAGATACTGCGTCGATACGCTGCAACTTCGTTTTTATATGCAATTCCGATATAATTATTCTCTATTCGTAATTTCGTTTTGGTCTTAAGATCGCGCGGTACTCAACATTGAAATCGTTATGGAGTTACACAGTACCGACGCTGTACTGAATGAACTTTATTAGAAAAACGTAGTAGGATTCGACGTCTAGACTATGTATTCCTACATATTATTACGTTAGTATGTATGAACGCGTAAGCTCAAAAACTACAGAATAGATTTCCAACCACTTCACCAATAGTCAGTGTGATTCCTGAGGAAGGTTTAGATGTATAATTTATTATGGATTTTTTATTAATGTCGAAGATAATGCAAAAATGAAATACATCAAATCAACGCGGGTGATGCTGCGGACCCGTGATCTTTTGCACTTGTATTACTAGTCACGTTTCTCCAAGTTCTCATCGCCTCTGCGCATTGCCAAACTTTTTTTTAACAAAATAAGAACCATTACAGAATATTCCAATGCGGCAACTATTTACATTACACACATATGTGTAACGATAACAACAAACAACGTATGAAAAAGTTTTAGATTAAAATGTTTACAAAAAGATGAACTCTTTTTTACAGTATGGGAACTTACACGAAGGAGACCTTTTGTCTATTCACTCAACAGATAATTAAAAACGTCTGTCAATCTATGCAGTTCATTAATTATTTCCATACTTTGTCATATGTGCCCTTTCTAGAGGCTAGTTTTTGCCTCTAGAAAAGGGCACCTAGGAATTATTTGAAACGGCAGTCGAAGTGTTAAAAGTTTCAAAATATTATTTTACTTATATTAAAACAAAAAATACACCCAAAATTAAATGACACAGCATATTAAAATAAACAATAATCGGATACTGCAACGGGCGTACTTATCACTGATCAGCTAGGAAACACAAATATACCAAAAATTATATTGGAAAGAACTATAAATAATAGCTACATTTAAAATATATTAGTGTCAGTTTACAAAAAACAGCAATACATAAATGTTTATGAGAGTTTTTTTTAATTTAAACAAATAAACGCGTTACTTTTTCGAATGCATCAAGTGGTACTATGTGACATTGATCACGTAGGGGCATGATACATTGTGACGTCGAGGAATGAAATAATAATTATCATAATCGTCAAGTTTCTTTGATAAGTGATAACAGAAACTCAGTGACATACATCGTTATCAAATTTAACACCTTGATTTAATATTTTAAGATCGGACGGCAAGGTAATAATTTACACGGCCGTTTCGTTTAATTGTGATTGGTTGAAGCGGGATCGTGTCGCTTTGTAGCGACACCTACATGTTACCGCTACAATTACTGCTATGACGTTTACCTATCTTAGCCACTGGTACCCCGTGGCGGCCCAAGCCGTGGTCCGAGTCTCGCAGGAGAAGCCCTTGCGCTAGTCGCGGGAATAAGCCCATTATGGTCGCGTTAGCTATCAAGGCCCTTTAAGCCACTTCAGTCAATAGCCACTGGGGCCGCCCAGTCTCACTAATGAGTCTGGTTGAGGATCCTTCCTTTAGTTTGGAAGAACTGTTCACCATCCTTCCTCCACATTTGATTTAAGTTCTTTTTAACCATAGTATTAAATGGATCCGAACGATTTCAATTAATAATTAATTTGAAACTTTTTAATGAAAAATTCACGGTAAGAAAATTGTCAAATTGACTTGAATTTCGTTTCGCAAAGGCTTTATAAACAAAATATCTTATCAACCATCCATGCATTCTACGTTGTGTACCCTAAGTTTTTATACAAACATCTTATAAACTTGCTTTAAGTAAGCACTGATCTTTTTACGAGTCGATGTTAATGCAATATTATCTTGCAATTTATCATGTATGTTTAATGATATACTTTTCTGGTCATTGACCTATAAAAACGAGCAAGTGTAAAAAGTTGCGAATGTATGATAGCAACGTTTAACCCTAACACGACTATGTACTTCAATTGGCCGTTGACTCGATTAACCTTTAACCAGCCGATCAAAACTAGTGTTTCCACAAATTTTTATGACAGTAAATATACAGTTATTCAATGTGTAAAAGTAGTAGATGTTACTACAGAATATAAAAATAACAGAAATGAAGGTTTCTTTAAATTTAATAAATACATTACGAAAGAAAGTTTCGTTTAAGTTAGTCTCGACTAAGAAAGTGTCGTGTCTTGATATTAGCTTTAAAATTATCCGTCCTAATATAAAAAAATAATAATATTGATTAATTATAAAAATAAAACTATCCAATTAAAACCATTAATGAAAAGTATGAGTCAAGTTGAATAATGCGTCGTTCTGGACTTCAGTGACGAAAACATCGAGTTTAACTACTTTGTAGCGACACGATCACAATGCAACGAAACCCGCCGTGTATATTACATTCGTACCTTGCCGTCCGATCTTAAAAAATTAAATCAAGGTGTTAAATTTGATAACGATGTACCTATATCACTGAGTTTCTGTTACCAAGTTCTGTGTTAACTCGGAATGTATTATATGCTATAGTTTGCACTCGGTGTTCACATGAGCTAAAAACTATAGACCGATTTTTCACGATGTAGAGCAATTCCTGAGGAAGGTTTAAGTGTATTATTAGGGTATAATAATACACGTCAAAAGTGAATATATTAGATAAAAAACTGAAGCAACCCACACAAGCTTTAAAACTAAAATGGCAATGGGCAGGCCAAAAAGATGGTGGGTTGATGACTTGATATAAATAGCATGAAAAGACTGTCAAACAAGAGGTATCCATAATCCATATCTACAGGCGACTAATACATTACTACTAACATGTAGCTATAAGTAAATACTAACAACAGAGGAGCGTTCAGAGGAGTTGTTCGGATTAAAACCTGCAGCTGAGGTTCATCATCGTACGTCGAGGCAGAATACGAAATTTCACCCGTATCATCTCGACGTCCGTCGTTCCACAACTGAGCGTTTTTAAGGCAGTTTTTGCCGCGCACCACCTCTATGACTTAGGGTGCTTCAAAAAAACGAGTACGAATTCTTAAAATAACGGCAAAGCACTCCCAAACCCTCGGGCATTGAGAGTGTCCATGGGCGGCGGTATCACTTAATATCAGGTGAGAATCCTGTCCATTTGCCCACTGTTCTATAAAAAAACACTACTTAGAACATTTTAAATAAAACTTAAGGATATGGAAATAAAAAAGGCTTTGTTATTATAATTATTGATGAGGTCGCAAACCTGAGCTAACGGCTACATACTACTATGCAGGTGTAGTGTGACAGATAATATACGAAATCTTACAATGTGTATTTTCACTATGTATTCTAAGTTTACCCTAACCAAAAATTAATTTAGAGAATCTACCGAATCCTACTGTAATTTTAAACAGTATAATTTCACTTTCTTTATACTGCCCTACACTTGATTTCTCTGATCTAACACTGTTTAGCCGGTTTCATTGTTTCCGATATGCAAACAGCCATATCTTATCATTGTGACATTAGTGGAAATATCACGATATTGAACACACGCGTCTGAGAATATAATAAGTTTTGTGAAAATGTGTGTAAAAAGTTAAAAAATACATTAAATATGGTTGACGGTACGGAACTACAGGAGTTGGAAAAGTTAAGGTAATTTGAAGAAATAATAATAATTCTTTATTTCCTCCCATATAACATTTGAAACAAACAGTACGATTACAATTAAGAAGGTATTGGGAGACTGGTTTCCAAGCTAGGTAAGCACCTGTGATATGGATAACCAGGCTTCCATTCCAAAGAGTACATATATGAGTAGGCAAAAAAATACTATTCAGTTGTTGCAATACGGCAATAACCTGGTGTTTCGCACTTGTTGATTTGAATGATTGTCTTGTAACTTTTATTATACTATATGTAATTACTATATTAACTATATGTAATACACTTGTATATTTTTGCACTTCTTGCCTACCTTATGTAATTTAATACTTTTTTTTGTGGTTGCCTGGAAGAGATCGCTCGAAAACGATAAGGCCGCCAGTTGCTCTCCTTTTTATTTAATTATGTCAATTGTACTATATTTATGTATATGCAACGAAGTGTTAATAAATAAATAAATATATATTATATTATATTATATTATATTATATTATATTATATTATATTATATTATATTATATTATATTATATTATATTATATTATATTATATTATATTATATTATATTATATTATATTATATTATATTATATTATATTATATTATATTATATTATAGCCTCTTTTCGGACATGACAGTATTTTTTTCTTTATTTTTCGTAGATTGTTCTTTTGTTCCACTTTTGCGTGTCCGTTTGCCATTTGGCAAAGGCCTCCTCCAATCTTCTCCATTCTTTTTAATTTTTTCTTCATTATGTTGTTGTTGGAGGGTTTCGGTCTAATTCCCCGGGGACCAGCCGGGTTGGGGAATAAATAAATATACGCGAATCTAAAAACCCTGACTGCAATCAGATTCAGTAAATATAATACAAAATTAAAGAGTCCAGGCTCAAGAATGACCGAGGGAAGTAACTTAATTAAATATGTTGAGCTATTCAGTGGTTATAGAAAGTAGCTTTAACCACCACTATGTGGAACCAGCTATCCACTGAAGTATTCCCGAACCAATTCGACTTAGGGTCCTTCAAGAAAAGAGCGTACCAATTCTTAAAAGGCCGGCAACGCACTCGCGAGCCCTCTGGCATTGAGAGTGTCCATGGGCGGCGGTATCACTTAACATCAGGTGAGCCTCCGCCCGTTTGCCCCACGTTCTATTAAAAAAAAAAAAAAACAGTCATCTTTATTAATTCGCCCCAGTTCGATAAAAGAACATAATTGTTGCGACACGGAACTAACCCGGTTTTTAATTCACACGTGATAAGTACTATTATTTGTATTAATACTAATATTATAAAGTAAAAGTAGAATACGCGAAAGTAGGCACGATTGGTTCGAAAAAAATCGTTGATAGTTAGATCGTAGATTTATCGCGGAAGACTATTCACATCACCGAATTAACGTGCTGCATATTACACTTCAATTTTGTTTTTTTTTTATTAAAAGATATATCTATTTAGTTATCGTTTGACTTTATTAAAAGTTTAGTTTTTGTAAATTAAAATCTATATTTCCAGCCCGTCCACATTGAATGTGAACACAGAATGCAAGCCACAAGCAGAAGGAAACTCCTCAAATACAAAAGGATGGCAGTTAATCCTGGAGCCAGCGTTAGTTGGAGCCATGATAGCTATCAACCTTGGCCAGACATCTCTACAAAATTTCTACTTGCGAACAGCGTGTACTGTAGACTTAGGAAAGTCTCCTGAGATATGCAGCAACGGTGTGGGAGAGGAGTTTAGGGCTGCAGAGGTATATATATATTATTTTATTTAAACTTGAAAAAATCTATGCAACGCGATGATAACCAGAGCCACATGACATACTATTAATGTTCGACTACTGTAAATATTAAAACTTAGTATATATTGTTCATTTCATTAACAAAAATATTGTCTACGTTTAAATATATTTAATACTAAGTTACCGTAGGGAAGATTTAAGAAAACAAGTGGAATGTTGGAATAAGAATAACATGTGAAATTAAATGAAGTGAAAATAAGTGAAATTTAGTGACCGAAAATAAGATTTGGCTTAAAGGTCTCGTTACCAGGCCATAAAAAAAAAAAAAAAAATTTTAATACTAAGCCAGAGATTAAAGACCAGATATTGTGTTGTGCGGAAAAGACAGCAAAACAAAAGAACGACTCTTTTGTCCAACTTATTTCTTGTGAGTAATGAATTTATTTTATATTCCAGGTTGCCAGCCAAGTAGTTGTATCCAGTGTTAATGTGAGTCGAAGTTTTGTTGGATCTCTTATTTCTACCATCGTCCTGCTCTTCGTGGGTCCATGGAGTGACTGTAGTGGCAGAAGAAAGCCACTCCTTATTTTACCCCTCCTGGGTATGTGTGTTATGACGACAGGATTACTCCTCATGCTGACTTTCCCTGGTGCCTCAACACTACAAGTGCTGTATACAGTACAGATACCTATATCTTTAGGTGGGAACTTCGGCCTGCTACTAGCAGCTGCCTTCAGTCACATAGGTGATGTAAGTTCTGGAAATCATGTGTTTAATTATTTTAGACTAATAACTAATTTAAGTCTAAGCTAATTTACTGATAAGGATATTTAACATAAGAAAGTGTCCAATAAAGTATACTAAGTTGTGTCTTAGAGTCTCTATGACGCGGAAGACACTTTGTTCCTGTGTTCTATTTTCACTTACCACTTACTCGTTAGCACCTACGCCGGAACTAGCTTCCTGTTTAAGAAGAAAATCTGTTTCCATGTTCTGTAATACTTGAAGCACCTTTGAACCCTAAATCACGGTTATTGCAGGTATGTCACGCAACGGGACGTGACGTAACGCGGACAATGGGAACGCATCGCGCCGCAGTTCAAATTGCACACGTCATCGGCTCTATTGGGGGACCCTTGCTGTACCGGAAGCTGGGATTCTACGGAGTATTTCCTCTTGTGCTTGTACTACAGGTATGCTCATGTGATACAATCACTAGATGGCGTTATTTCACATTTTTGTCCAGAAAACAAATTTTAGTCAAGGGAGCTTTCCAGTATTACGAGTACGTCACGCAATTTTTGGAGATTCTTGACGCCGTGTGGAGTCTCTCTGCATCTTTTTGACACACACGACCACTATGTGGAATCAGCTGCCCATTGAAGTATTTCCGAACTAATTTGACTTAGAATCCTTCAAAAAGAGAGCGTGCCAAGTCTTAAAAGCCGGCAACGCACTTGCGAGCCCCTTTGCAATGCGAATCAGTCTATGGGCGGCGGTATCACTTAAAATCTGGTGAGCCTCCTGCCCGTTTGCCCCAAATAAACGAATAATTTGCGTGTTATATAAACAAAAATTCTAAAGGTAAGGAATTCTTTAGGACGATTGTCACAATGAACTACTTTGATGATAGCTGTCTATGTATTAACTATGTAGACAGACCACTCCAATTTTACCTTGCTGACCACAAGGCTCAGTCATGAGGTGCCGTCAAACGAAAAACTCATAAATTTGCAACTATGAACCTAAAAGTCTGGAGAACTAATTGTCCTAACCTATTTATAAATATGTTTAAAGCATTAATATATTAGTCGTAGCAGTGTTGGTCTAGTAGCTTCAGCGTGCGATGCTCGTCTCTGGGGTCGTAGCTTCGATCCCCGGCTGTGCACCAGTAGACTTTTTGTCTATGGCGCACTTCGCACTCGCTCGTATGGTGATGGAAAACATCGTGAGGAAACCGCCATGCCTTAGACCCAAAAAGTCGACGGTATGTTAGGCACAGAAAGTTGATCAACTACTAGTTGATCAATTAGAAATTATCACGGAACAGACACAGAAATCTGAGGCCCAGAACTAAAAGGTTGAAGCGCCATTGGTATATATATTCTTTGCCACACAAACTATTTAGTTGCAGACCGACTTATGCCTAATCTAAAGCGGTGATATACAGATTGTTTATTCTTATTTTAAAAAACGTTGCAGAAAATGTCACAATGTTGCCATTTAATTAAGTTTTTTTATTCACTGTTTTTAACTATATTGTATCTGTTTTCAGATAGCATCGCTTATCTATGTGGTCCTTAAAATCAGAGATGTTAATGTGAATACAGAAAACCAAGTTTCTGTATTTAATTGGCGATTACCATTCAACGCCATCCAGTGTCTGGTGCGAAAAAGAGAGGGAAATAGGCGAATGATCATCCTTCTCATGTTGATTGTCGCTTTAGGAGATAGAATGCTTCTGTCCGGTGGGTTAATACTTTAGAAACGTATATTCATTTTTCATAAAAACAAAAATCATCATTTCTTAATGTAGGTAATTTAATCTACAACTTTGAATATCAGAAAAAAATAGTAGTTCTACATTTATATTTACTTCCACTTCTCAAAGGGCGTCGAAGTGACGAGAATAACTGGCATTAAAGTCTCCGTCATTATTTTAAATTGCCAAGATCTATTTACAAAATTAACTTGCTCCTTGACTCGTGTTATAGCCATTATTGTAATTAAGTGGTTGCCTGGAAGAGATCGCTCGAAAACGATAAGGCCGCCAGTTACCCACTTTCTAATTTAGTTATGTTTCTGGAACGAAGTTTTAGTAAATAAATCAAATAAATAAGAAAACCAAACGTTTCACCTCTATCAGCAAAGCGCGGTGAAATAGGAGCATGCCTTTAATGTGGGAACAACACGCAAATACGTAGTATCGAGGTGTATAATATTGTTAATGATATGGTCTATCATTCTTAATTAAATTAATTCAAGGGATGTGAGCACTTATGGTGAAGTGTAACGCCAAGCAACTCGAGACAGTCAGTTATTTCCACACCCCCGAAGGAGGTTGGACTGAATCCAAAGCACTTTTTTGCAACTCGTTAGACAGACCTGGGTTTCATTTGTTTTAAATTGGACTAGGTTCGCATCGCCCCGATCCGAAACCTCCTTTAATGTCCAATTAAGACGTTCAACCATATATTCTCGTAAGATTCATATCTGACCAAATTTTTACGTCAGGCACCGAAATATTGAAGCCAATAAAGAATCGCAGTCCCAAAATTACTAATTTTTTTAAATATTTTCAGCGGAGGTGTTATTGGCGTATATGTACTACAGATACAAGTTCCACTGGGATGACATATTATTCGGTTCCTTCTTGGCTTATAGAAATGTGGTCAGTTTTGCTGGTGAGTATACATGAAAGATGTCTAATAATACTCATTTGTTCATGAAAGAATATTAGCAGTAAATTTATAGACATATTGCTATATAAGAAAAATTATTTTGTTGATTATGTGTGGGCGAAGTTTGTTGATATTAGGCTGGTATTCTGGAAAATTAATCAAACTTAAATCTAGTTTCAAGAGCTGTCAAACCATTTTTCTATTTGTAGTTTGACATATTTGACACAGAACTCAAGATGAGACTGACATGTGACATGTGTAAAAGCAATATATTTAAAAAGTACTATCACAATTCCACGCAATAAATCTTTACTATTTTTAAGTCTTTCAAATTGTCTTACAAATATTTTAATATATATTAATTAGTTCTTTAATCATTATCAATTCAGAACCAAATTCTATTCTTCTATCATATTTTTTTATATATACTTGAAGGGAAAATATATTACAAATTTATAGCGTTAATATAATATAAATATTGACGATTTATTATGTATTTACTAAAATCAGGAACTTTATAGAAGGGGTTATTACGTATCCAAAGATAAGTATTTCTCATAGAAAAGGCAAACTCTAGCTGAAAAACTCTACAATACTTTATGGACATTACATATTCGTTTTAAAATTAGCCTGTATATACATTTCCAAATATCAGAAATATGATGTCATATTAATTTAAATCTTGTGTATTACTTAAGCAAAAAACTGCCGCAGACATCGGGTCAAGTGAGTTTGAGGTAACTTGTTGAATCGTTCTTACGACACCTGCTCATTACGCTAAGAACTCAAGTATCTTTTAAAGCTACAATATCTTTTAAATCTACTTCGGTTGAACTTTAAAATATTAAAATAACGATTTTCAAAGATATTTTTACGAAAATCTCCAAAGTGATCGCTTTAGTGGGTGTGGGGACTTTTGCATAAAGTCTTTATTGTCTTGCCAACCTTATAAAACAGATAACACCTCAAATATAAAAGTATATGTAAATATTAGGTCCTTACATATGAAATTGGCGTTTTGTATGGGAGGAACAAAAAGTCGAATATTTTTAAATATAATATATTTAATTAATCAAAGTATGAACCATTGTTTTCTATGCACTTTTGCCATCTCATAGGTAGTTCATTGATACCTTTACTAAAAAAAACATTCGGACGGGAATCAATTAAATCTGTGAAGGCGATTTGGACTGCCCCATCAAAGTTAAATTTTTTCCCTTGCAAGAAGTTGTCCAAATTTCGAAAAAAATGGTAATCTGTTGGAGCAAGGTCCGGGGAGTACGGAGGATGTCTTAGATATTCCAATTGAAGCTCTTCTAATTTGGTAGCCGTCTGTTGTGACTAGCTTTTCCATCACGGTTTGCAATTTCTGACAATAGACATCAGCCGTAATAGTCAGGCCAGATTTGAGAAAACTGCAATGAACAATACCGGCACTAGTCCACCAAACGCTTACAAGTAACTTTTTTGGGGTTAATTTTCGCTTGGGGCAGGATTTGGCTGGCTGGCCAGGATCCAACCATTGCGCTGAGCGCTTTCGATTATCGTAAAGAATCCATTTTTCACCACAGGAAATGATTCGGTTTAAAATACCTTCATTATTGTGCCGGTTCAGTAATGTAACGCAGCAGTCGACGCGCGTTTGCCGGTTTACTTCAGTCAATTCGTGAGGTACCCATCTTTCAAGGTTTTTTATCTTCCCAATTTGCTTCAAGTGAATTAAAACAGTTTTATCACTAACACCGCAGCCTGCAGCTAACTCGGACGTGGTTTGCGATGGATCCGCTTCCACAATAGCCTTCAATACTTCATTATCAACTTGGGTCTCAGGCCGTCCACGGGGCTTGTTCTGCAGGTCGAAATTTCCAGAACGAAAACGTTGGAACCAAAAACGAACTGTGTTTTCTTTTGCAACATGACCGCCATACACATCATTAACCATTCGAATCGTTTCCGCAGCACTAGTGCCACGGCGGAACTCGTACTCGTAAATAATGCGATACTTTAAGTTTTCCATTTTGTAAAATGAGTGACGCAAACAGAAAAAACAGAAGAAAAAAAACAAATGAATGACGGTCATCGAAGCACAAATACATGAGTAAATAGCTGTACAAATTTGAATTTGGAATTCCTTACCAAAGAGGAGAACATCGTTATTAAAGTGGCCAGAACGAAATACGCCAATTTCATATGTAAGGACCTAATATGAAATATAATAACTTTCTACAGTTACAGCTTTGTTCTATACTTCCATTCATTGCTTGCTCGCCATAGTCACAATATACGATACTTAGTATTGGCTATTCACTTCAAGGCTCTGTAGATATTATTTAAACCTTATTAAATACTTTGCAATGGACGGTCGGTTCTAAACACAATTATTTGAAACTGATAAAGTATAACTCATTAACGTTCTATTCCAAGTCAACATTAATGTATATGTACCAAAAATTAAACACAGTTCATACACAATTATTTATTTTAAGTGAACCATAACAACTATTTTTGCTAACATAAAGTTTACTGTACTAAAATTGACTAAATCCGGATAAAAACTAGTTTGTATTACGATGGTGGGATGAGGTATTATCGAAGTCATTGGTGATAAATAAAATGGGGTCAATAAATAACGTACTATTTTAGGACTAGGATCGAGACCCTTCTTTCAGTGAGTTTCATAGCACTTATTATCAGATTAGCCTCCTATCCTTAAGGTATTAATACAATATATAATAATCTGTGCTCGCGTAATTGATTATTTATAGTTTCTATTCAGATACAAATTTGTATGTTTTTAAATTCATACCTATTGCCGCATTTACATTCAACCGTAGTGAGCAGGGAAGTGGGCAGGACAAGTGTATACATATATCGCGTTTACACACTCGTCCTGCTCACTTCCCTGCTCACTACGGCTCAATGTAAAACTGGTATATGTAGTTTCGATATCGAAAACGGCGTGTTTGCTTTATCGCCTTTTCCTCATCATATTAAGCAATCTTCATTCAAATAATAATGAAATAAATATTTATTTATAGGTACACTTCTTATATTGACGATACTCAAGCGACGCCTGAGATTTTCTGATGAAATGGTCGGAACTGTCAGCTGTATTTCCTACGTACTCGCAACGTCGGGCCTATTTGCTGCTAAGTCTACAATTGTTGTTTTTATACGTAAGTATTTTATATATACATACATATATCCTTTCTATAATACACACATATTCGTTTGTATACATTTAAATATAATAACAATACATAAAAGATACAAAAGACGTGACCGGACGTGTTAACGTGTTAAAGTGAAAGGAATATGAAATTCTCAATTCCGTATTTTCCTTAATTTGTCGATAGGGAATGAAGCGACGTTTTGTGTGAATAAGTAAAGTTTTCAGTTTTCTAGTGGCAGATTACACAGTTCAATATATAATAAAAAGAGGGTAGATGCCAGCGCGCTGCCTTGTGTTACCCCAAATGTGACGTTTCTCTGGATAATTAATCGTAATTTAAAGGGTTTAAAAGTAGTTTGAATGTTCCATTTAGAAACGAATGTTCCATTTAGAAACGAATGTTCCATTTAGAAACGAATGGAACATTCCAGATTAGGATTATATTAGGTAGCTTCCCAGCTGATAGAAAGTTGCTGCTTGAGATGCTAAGGTTACTAGGTAGGAGCCGCTAAGATGTCTTTTATCCGTACTTTGGTTAAAACTGTAGCTTTACGATGAGTTTGTCGAAGATTGTAACGTACAAAGCGACTGAGACGATTTGATGCGTATTTTATTCAAATGTTTAGATATTTTTTCGCTCTCTTATAAGTGTTTATATCACATTCTCCTTAATACTTTATTTAATTCTAAAAACAGCTACTTATAAACTTATAAAAGACTTTAATTTCATATTATTTCAAAATTAGATCATTGAAGTGTATATCTCGTGTTTTGAAGGTAGTGAAAGAGATGTTTTCTCCTAAAAATGATATTTCATGAGTTTTCAATATTACAGGAGTTATTACTCCTGTAATATTTTTAATTAGTTATATGTGTGTGAAAAAACATAGTCATAGTCATTCTTTGTTATTGATTATTAAAAATATCTTCTACTGATAACCCTAATTAGTCTTAATTTAATTTTTTATAGGTAATTGAGTCACGTTATTATGATTATTATTTACATAATCATGTATTATTTTTATTAATAATTTTTTTCTTAAAAGATCATACTGTTGCATTAACACTCTAGTACAGTCTTTCAAATAATTAAGGTAACGAGCGCTCTTAGCGTTCAAAAGCGATCTTTGCCAGGCAATAATCCTAAAAACAATTAATTATCTGGTTTTATTTTAAACTAACGTTGCACACACAAACATACTTAAACAAATAATGTATGGGAGTAGTTAAAAATATTGTTGATGAAATTATTGCGCCTTACATCCAGCTTTATAATCGTAAAATTATCAGTAGACGCAGAAGTCTGTAGACTATACTAGAATAGTAGTATTTTTTATTGTTTTCAACAGTTAAAGCACTATAAACATTACATTACTAACGTTTCCATTTATTATCAGCATATATCACCAGTTTTTGATGAGAGAAATTGTATAATAAAAGTTGGCATTGGCTAATAAAGTCTGACCATGAACGCAGAATATTACGTTGCACAAGTGTGTCCGCAAACACGACTGCATTGCCTATTCGTAATTGGAGAAGGTACGAAGGAAGGCTAAAGTACTTATCCTTTGCAATGGAGATGGCAAAACATTGTGGACGAAATTGGAATACGCATAGATACCACTTTCTCATATCAGGAAAGAAGATTGACATAAGACGATATCGGAGTTTTAGAAACGGTACAAAGAAGCTAATACCACCAATTCTTTATAACCTATGTCATATCCAGCGCTAGGGTGTTGAATCACCGTAAATTTCTAAAGTTACATAGTGAAACTTTTCATTGAAATACAAATTTTGTGGAAAAAATCACCTGTATAATTTTCGAACCCTAACCGGGATATCAACCCGAGTCCTCTTAAGGTCGATTCACACATATCAGTGAACCCACAGTTCCGGCACAGTACCGTTACAGTTCCGTATCCGTGCTACAGTGGTGCGTCAGTCATTCAATTCACACATGTCAGTACTCAGTTTACGGAGCTTCAGTGAAAACGTGTCCGTCGCGTTGTCAAGTAACGTGATTATGGCTCTATTCAATACTACGGAGCTAGCAATGATAGCTGTTGCTTAAGATGAAGAAGAAGAGAAGCATCAAGGAAAAAAAAGAAAATGGGTGCATGAAGCATGCCAATTAAGAGAGACGGAAGGAGAATTCATCATATTATACAAAGAATTAGTTAAAGAAAATATTTTAAAATGTCAGAGAGCTGCTTCAATATTCTTCTGCAATAAATAAAATGTAACAAATAATAACGCGGCGTCAGTGATCCGAGATAAAATATCGTTGTCGCCGATCACGTCCGTGATGGCCGGTGCCGGCACTGACACTGACGGTACTGAGACGACACTGACACTGACAAGTGTGAATACATCCATAGAGAATGTTTGAAAGAATAATTATCACTGATGCGGTACTGTGCCGGAACTGTGGGCTCACTGATATGTGTGAATCGACCGTTAATCTGCAGTCGAACAGGCAACAATCATTTGTAAATTTACATTTTTATAAAATGTTAATAACTGAAAGGTTAAAATGTTAATTACCTGTTTCATGTTTCCAAAGAAATTTCAAGTAAGAGATTTATAAAAGCAAAATAGGTTCCGTTTTAAGTATCCAGCTTTTTAATAACAGCTTTAAAAAATGTGTTAGACCTAGACCTCAGATTTCTCCATCAGTTTCATAGTAGGCAAGCCGGGCCGTCTGTGCCTAACAAGCGCCATCGATTTTGGGTCTAAGACATGCCGGTTGCCTCATAATCACCGTTCGTGCAAGTGTTAAATGCGCACATAGAAAGTCTATTGTTGAGCAGCCGGGGTTCGAGCCTACGATCCACGGATGAAGCTGAAGCCACTAGGCCAACACATTCTCTGAATTAGAGATTGCCTTATTACAAAACGTGCATTGAAATATGCTCAAACATTTTATAATACTATTACAATTTATATGGACTAAAGATTTAAAAAATAAAATGCAATAAAACCTGGTATTATCAACAAAATAAATGATTTTATTACCAATAACAAAGACAATAGTTTCTATATGGACTTGCTGTATCAATAAAAATTATCATGCGCTGGAATCAATGTGGTTTAACGACTGATAAATGTTTCTATGCAGTATTTTTTTGAATACATTTTATTATAAAGTAGAATCTTGAACATCAAGGCGCCAAAAGTTGAGGAAAAGTACTATTTATACCTCTGGTATTGATGCAATTACAAATATGAAATTGCTATCTAATAATTTAATCATTAATTCCAAAAACGACCTATATTAGTCATTAAATTGATAACAAATCGTTAAGGTTTTCGATATCAAATTAAGCTTGATTATCATCTTTTCCTTTATATAAAAAACAACTTTTATTTTATTAATTTTGTTCACAGTTCCAATAATCGGCATAATTTCCCAAGGATCTCAAGTTGTGCAGCGACCTATAATTAACAAGCAAATTCTTCCCAACGAACAAGGTATGTATCTACGCCTTTTCATTTATATTTATGGTATATATATGTCGTAGCCAACAAGCTTAATTAGCCGTTCAGTCAACAGCCTAGTTTACTTACTAATGTGTTACGAATTGCCTAAGCATTAGCTAGCTAGTTGATTAAATGTAAAAAACGCTACGACTGAATATCATTTAGGCCGCTAGTTAAACGGCGCCGTTTAGTAAAGAGGCTGTTGATTGAACGGCTAATCAAGCTAGTTGGATACGATATCTATACTCGTATTTAAGACTATTTATTTTTTTAACTTACTAAGTCTTATTTATTTTTTGTAATTTCCAGATACTTACAACGTATAATGTATTTACAATTTTCTTAACCTACAAAGTAATAATACTTTTTTTTATTTATTTATATATTACCGAAATACATACATTAATTATCCTTACAACTATGCCAATACGATAATGTCGAGAAACATTAACTAAAATTATTAAAATGTTCAAAACAAATTTAAAAAGTTTGGTCCGTGTGGCAGTGTACCTTTAGCGATGGAATGATTTACATATAACCACAATCTTTTGCACAATCGTCGCCCCTTTTTTAACCTATGAAATTTAATTATTTGTAACGTACGTAATAATTGGTATGATTGTTGTAGGAAGGGCGTTGTATCAAGAGCATGCATTGTGCTAAAGTATATACCTTTGAACTTTGTACGAACGAACGTAAAAAGTTGTTTAAAACAGCATGTACAGAGCGACCAAAGTGTTATTTAAATTTAAGATTATTGCACAGCTTTATTTATAAAAGTTGAATGAAGGTCACTTTCTGTTTATACTGTGATATAAAGGGACGGATGTCCGCTAGAAAAGGCATCTATTTGACTAATTACTTTCAAGAATATAAATTAGATATAAGGATAATACTTCTATAACTAACATGACTTGTACAATTTTTGGAAGGCTAAAGATTTTATCATTCATTCGTATAAACAGTTCTAAATAAAAACAGATAATTGGATTATAATTAATTGTTATAGATATCGTGTGAACAAATGAGTAACTAGATAACGCAATTTATATTTTTATAAACAACTCTTTGACTAATAAAAAACATTATATCAAAGAATGATAACGTGTCGTTTATTTAAATTTGTAGAAGTCACCCCCCCTTAATTATGTAACTTAAGTTATAAATATATATGTCATGTCGTACTAGTGTGTCTTATCGAATTAGTTTTAGTGTCATAGACTACTAACCCCCTTATTCATAACGTAAACGTGCTATAATCGTCAAAAGAAAATACTTAGAATCATTTCATGTATCACATCTTTTATGAGATTATTATTTAATTTATTGACGCTTACGTTGATCAATAAGATCGAAAATGTTTATAAAATGCATGTTCAAGAACTGAAGATGAATTAGCGAATCTCCCTAGTGCTGATGCTGATGCCGTAACCTTCAGATGTCGCATCATAAAAAAGGCTTACTATTGTGAACTACAGTATGCCGGCACTGGTCTGAGAAGGAAAGCGAATAAATTTCACTGTGCTTCTATTGCAAATATATATACGAGTAAAAGTATATCTACTATGATGAAGCACGCAATGTTTTAGTTTAACTTGTTATGTTTCTGTTTATTTAAATTTGTAGAACTCGCCATTTCCCCCATTAAAGACGTATCTTAAGTAAAATGTCTTGTCTTACTTACTTATAGAACTAGTTTTAGTCTCATAGGCTTCCCTACTAACCCCCTTATTCATAACGTAAACGTGTTATAATCGTCAAAAGAATCGTCAATAGAATCTTTTCATTTAATAATACCAAACATGTTTATAAAATGGATGTTCATGAATTTGCACCAGTACTCCATAAAATGTTGTGGACCGAATGTTGCCGAATCTTGTTGTCATAGTTTCCGTATAAAAAGCTTGGCTTGGTATTGCGAACTACGGTATACCGGCACTGATCTGATAAAGAAAGTGAAGAAACTAGCCTGTGTTTCTACTGCCAATATTAGTTTAGATTTGTGGTCAATTTCAAAAGAGAAGCATATTCTTGTAAAATAGCTGATCTATCAATATATGTTATCAAAGTTCACATTGATATGTTTGTTCACAGGTAAAATTTACAGTGTCCTTGGGGCTTTGGAAAGCGCAACACAGACCATATCATCTCCCCTGTACTCGTTACTATATTCTACTACGGTTCCTGTTTTGCCCGACGCCTGGTTGTTACCAGGAATTTCATTGGCTATAATACAACTATTTTCTTATCTATGTAGCCGACAATTGCGTTTACGAAGACACAAACACGCACCTGATAAAGATGCCGAAATAACAAGTGATAAACAGAACGAAAGAGATATAAAAGAGACCAAAGAAATAGATTCTAGATAATATACATTATTGTAATTTAATAAAATTATTATTCCACATTTTATGGTTTTATTTACATGATAATGCTCAAAGGCGACTCGGTCATGTTTTATTTATCTTTATTGAGACTTGGCATGTACGCAAGTGCTTAGGACACGGGTGTGTTTGCCCAGCAACATCAACATCTTCTAAATAGGGCTATAAAAATTGTCTTCGAAGAATCAAATAGCATATTTTTCAATTTCGGCTCCAATGAATGGGAGAAGCCGGAAACGAACCCGATCTCCCGAAAGTCTGTTATTAAATATGCTAGCCAGAGAATAGACCTCTAAGGCAGTTATTATAGTAAGTAGACACATTATATTGAACTATCAATTGCCTGTTTACTTGGGCTTAAGCGTTCATGAGGAATCATGGATGTGCCATGCATGCATCATGTGTATGTGGCGTGAATAAACATATTTTAACTTTGAATATGATCTTTTATATACTTTAATAATCAATAACGATAAGTTATATTATGCAGTATTTGTTTCACGTCAGGTTGACGTCGTTACATTGTTTTCATTCTAATATATCTTAGCTGAATCAACCACTGAATAAAAAATTTATAATGATTTCCAAAGTTCAAACCCTTTATTTTATATTTTGAAATAGAGACAATGAAATCTTAATCCCAAATCAAAAAGATCGCACTGAATTTAAATTAAACATCAGTATGATCATACTTTGCTAAGTTAAAGTTAAAACAATATCTTTGCCAATCCTTGCTTATTTCTTAGCTTTCTTACTACTTAAAAGCAGTTACTTTTAACATCTCAAATGAATCTCACCAGGAACGTGCTACAAGAGCGGTTCTCAAGGTGGATCATCCGATAAGCCTTTCAGATGTCCTACTGTCAAACTCCAGAAAGAAGGCGTCGGAACGTGACGACCCCATCGCCCAGGTTTGGTATTCTTCCCCCTTCTTTTTTCAAGTTACAAAGGAAGTCCTCAAAATTCACAAATCAAACCCAAATAATATCCTGTCTCTTTGCCACTGCCAACTCCTCAAAACCAACTTCACATAGCTACCAATACTCAGCCAAATTCATCTCCTTCTCATATTATGTATACCTAAACCGTCTACAAGTTACGTAGTTAATCCTCAGCATTTCCAAATGAAACCCAAATATTCTGCCTCTGTGCCACCACCGCCGAGCCCTCAAAACCAACTTCACATAGCTAGTTAATGCAGATCCTAAGCTGAAGGAATTCATCAAAAGTTCTGACACTCATTCGGAAATAACGGAAAAATTTATTTCGATGTTCTCGAAGCTTACGCCCAGCTTGGTGGGTGTACCCAGTATTCATCAAAATCCAACGACCGTCTCTTCAAAATGCTTATCGGCAAATCACGCTTCGATTTCAAAAAGTTTTGTCATTGTTACCCTTCGTGAACGCACTTCCTCACTTTAGAAACGACGTGACAATGACAAAAAAATTAATTTAACGGTGACAAAAGTAACTCGTGCGCTCCTTAGTGAATGTATAATGTTTTGAATGAAATGTGAACATTTTGTTTTTGAGAAAGTGGTTAAAAATTAAAGGGCCTTTGAAAGAAAAAAAGGTCAAAATCTGCCGTTATCTCAGTTCTCATATGCTATTGGTTCCAGTTCTAGTTTTTACCTATGTTATTCTTTCTTTTATGTCTTTTCAGAATCTCTGATTTATCTACCTATTTAAGAAAGCACTTCCGATACGTGTTGAAGGCGTGATAAACATCTATTATGAAAATAAGTTATTTTTAGAATTGATATCAGAGTTAGTTCTTAAAATAGAATAATTTTTATGAAATTGCTATCAGATAACAATCATAATTCGATAAACCTTCAATATAAATGTTGCCGCTTTGTAAATATCGCCAGTTACAGATTGATTAACGTTTGCGATCAAGACTTATTAGTATCACTCGCTCTTCATCCCCTTACCGACAAATACTATAACGTAAGTACATTTCTTCGTTATTTATTTTGTCATACGTCGAAGTAGGTCATTGAAATACTTTTTAAATATTTATACAACAGAGGCTCGACTTTATGAACGGTCTTCCATGTAAAGTATATCGCGCGAATTAATTTGATAACCGACTTCAATAAAGAAACCGAAGTGGGATCTAACTGATTTTAAATTGATACTTTACGTGACCCGGCACAGGTACTAACAGTACTTTTTCATTGCTGGGTTGCATCTAAAAACTAATTAAGGAAGACCATCTGGGCCTGGATGACGATTTAAATACCTCTTTTACATACTCTCAATAAAAAATATAAAAATATTGTATTTTTTATTACAGAATGAACCGTCCAAACAACATGCCTAGAGCTTTCACCGTCCAAGGATACTCTATCGCACCAAACCCTTGTTTTGGACCTAGCAGATGCTCAGTCAACCCACATTTTGGGGTACCTGCCAATCCATCACCACACTACAATACTTGCTTCGTCTCTGCATCCTCACTTAGGAAAGCGTACCCACAGATGTCTCATCCTAGAAATTATAATTGTTTGAAGTGATTTGCCTCGGAAAAGGTTACGTTGAATCTCGATTTTTGGAATAATTAGGTATATAGGATAGACATAAGTATGTGAAGTGTTGAGTAATTTCTAAGATACATAATAAACCTATTAACTCTTATATTTGTTTCCATGCCTCTAAGTTCTACCTTAACTGCTTCATTCTTAGCAAGTAGTCTAGTGATGTGCATGTTCGAATACACATGATAAGGGAAGGTCCTTATCGTCCAATGAGAGGGCTCAACCCCTAAAAAAAAAATTTATATTTTTTAAAAAAAGCCAGTTAGTAGCTTTTTATTGCCCGTGCTTCTATGAGCACGTAAATATAATCATTGGACATCCGACCCATAGTAGTATGAGACTTCGTGGAATAATGATAGCACTTCATTATTTAATATAAACGCCAACAAATTCGCACCTTAAAAAAAGACCTGGAAAAGAAAGATAGTACCTATTCACGATGAGCAGTGTTGGCCTAGTGGCTTAAGCGTGCGACTCTCATCCCTGAGATCGTAGGTTCGATCCCCGGCTGTGCACCAATGGACTATCTTTCTATGTGCGCATTTAACATTTGCTCGATCGGTGAAGCAAAACGTCTTGAGGAATGCGACATGTCTTAGGCCCAATAAGTCGACGGCATGTGTCAGGCACTGGAGGCTGATCACCTACTTGCCTATTAGATTGAAAAAATTGATCATGAAACAGATTCAGAAATCTGAGGCCCATATCGGCGTCAGTTAAGGGCTACTGCATAGAAAGTATTTTTAAGCTTTATATCACGGCTAAAATAGTTAGTAGTAGTAGGTGATTTATGATTTCTTATTTTGATACAGCTTGTGACATCCAACGTCAAAATCCAATTACCATGAGAGTTAAACTTTCCCATTGCAATGTCTATTAATTTTAATTGTATTTAGTAATATGTAACGAGCGTACAAAAAGGCAAAAAATATATTCTCATTATTTCTTATTCTTGTTCCAATAACAATTATTATTATCGGTATATTTTTAACTGTTTAATTAACTATTAATACCTATAATAGATAATTGAATAGGTTTTTTGTCTTGCCATCGTAACAATAAATCATGTCTTTTTTTAATCTCGCTGGCCTTAATAAAGGGCCTTTACAGCTCAGCTAGGGCTGTTTTTGCGAGCGTAGTTTGGTTGAAATGGGCGTTTTCCCAGCGAGTTGCGCATGAGGTATCTCCTGCGAGACTCGGACCTCGGGTTGGGGCGTAGCGAATCACGTGAATATAGGACGGAAGCTTACTGGAGTGAGCAAACTATAAAATAGAGGTCCACACTCCACGCCTTCCCCGGTGAAGGCGGCTTTTGTAATTCGTGAGTTCCTCCACAAAATTGATTAACAAAATAGGTAGACCTTGCCTTAAACATGATTGTTCGAGAGTTTAGAATCCATTCTCGTCTTTCAGTAGTCTTGTTAAGCGTCAAATTATCACTTTTAATAATATCTACTCTATCTTTGACATTAAGCTGATTGGTATAGAATTTGCAACATCACTTTTGCAATTTTTCAAAGGAGGGGTTTTTAACCATAAAATACTATCGATGATTGCTATTTAATGTCTTAAGTGGAGTAGATACACTTTTCCGTGAATCATTAATTACTGTAGATATTTGCAGTTATCTAAAGAGTTCTCATATGCTGTCATTCAATGAAATCATTGGTTCCAGTTCTAGCTTTTACATTTGTTATTTTTCTGTCATGTCTTCTCAGAATCTTTGAATTATCTACCTATATTGCGTAATAAAGCGTTCTCATACAACATTTTCAGAATAGATGTCTTAATCAAGGCATGATAAACATGCAAGTATTTTTGGGACTGATATCAGAGTTTCGTCTCAAAATAGAATAATTATTATCAAATTGCCATCTGATAGCGACCATAATCCGATAAACCTGCAATATAAATGTTGCCGCTTTGCAAATATCGCCAGTTACAGATTGAATAACTATTGATTGATTGATTGCGCGTCGTTTGCGATCAAGACTATTATCACTCGCTTTTCAATCCCTTACCGACAAATACTATAACGTAAGTACATTTCTTTGTTATTTATTTTGTTATACGTCTAAGTAGGTCATTGAAATGCTTTTTAAATATTTATAAAACAGAGGCTGGACATTATCTTCTATGTAAAGTATGACATCAAGCTGATACGCTGTATAGCGACGTATCAGCGTATATATATAATTAATTTAATAATCAACTTCAAAAAAGAAACCGAAGGGTAACTGATTTTAAATTGATAATTGTCACGTGACCCATCACCGGTAGTAACAGTACTGTTTCATTGCTGGGTTGCATCTAAAAACTAATTAAGGAAGATCTGGGCCTGGACGACGATTTAAATACCTCTTTTACATTCTCTAAATAAAAAACTTTAATATTGTATTGTTTATTCCAGAATGAACCGTCCAAACAACATGCATGGAGCTTTCACCGTCCAAGGATACTCTATCGCACCAAACCCCTGTTTTGGACCGAGCAGATGCTCAGTCAACCCACATTTTGGTGTACCTGCCAATCCATCACCACACTACAACACTTGCTTCGTCTCTGCATCCTCGCTTAGGAAAGCGTACCCACAGATGTCTCACCCTAGAAATAATGGTTTTAAGTGATTTGCCTTGATAAAGGTTATGTTGAATCTCGATTTTTGGAATAATTAGATATATATAGACATACATATGTAAGTGTTAACTAATTTCTAAGATACATAATAAACCTATTAACTCTCACATTTGTTTATATGCCTCAACTGCTTCATTGGTCTAGTGATAAGCATGCACGAATACAGATTTTCTTGCGTTATTTGAATGCCCCGTTCTTCGGATGAGCACGTTAATCTATCGGTTCTTTTGGTTTATATTTAAGTAAATTAGCTTACTTACATAAATGCCGTGAAAATTTTCTTGCATGACTTAGCGGCTTCAGGAAAAATCTCTTTTTGAATGGCGAGTCAGAGGCGAGCTCGAGCGTCCACGCAGGCCTGATAAGCAGCTTGTTTGTTATTTACAGCCACAATAAACTGGGCATAGAATCAGGGTCGACCTTGTAATCAAGTGAAACGTCAAAGAAATGAATCAAATACTCCTTGACAAATATTACAAACCACATCAGCGATATTGTCCACACAGGCTGACGGGTCAGTTGTCAGTACACGTGCTGCCAAAGATAAGACGCAAAGAAACTCGTACCTCCACACTCTCCTCCGACCCTTAAGTGTATGGTGTTCCAATGGGTCAGAAACATAGACCGCGTATCAGTCCTTAGGTCAGCAGAAGGTCAAGGCAATTGGTAGTATGGCAGTGGAGTAGCGTCCCATTAGATTTTTTCGAATTTTAATAAGAATTAGTAAAAAAGTCTACTTTCTTATAAAAACGCAAAATAAATTATAACGCGGGTTGAGCTAAAGGACCTCCCGTAGAACATTCTTTTGCAGCTGATGACCCCATCTAACCCCTAGTTGCGTTTGATCCACGACTTTTCGGCCCCCCTGTATAATCAAGATTAACGTTCCCAAATATAATTTGAGGAAAATGATATGACATTGACGATATTTTCTTTAATTTTGATTTTATCATTAAAAAAAGATGGATGGAGACGCAGTCTAGCTCCCTTGGATCTGCACTTGAAGTCACTTTCTCTATAACGTTTAATTTATAGGTCAATTCATCTATATTTCACTTTGAATAAGTCTGGAAGAAAAACTACAAAAATGCTTCAAACATTTATTTATTAGCAGTCAACTACAATCTCTTCTTTAACAACGTTGGCATCGCCCGCTGGAGCCAACGTGTTATCGACTATAGGCGGAGGGCTCCTATAATATCTATTACTCGCGTGATGCTCCTTCAAATATTCGCCTCCCATTTCATAATAATCTTCTTTAGTGATACAACAGGATTCGAAGTCATTACTCCCAGCGAAGTCTCGTGCCCCATACCAGGCGTCGAGGCTGGGATCACCCGCCATTACCACTTTGTGAGTCGATTGGAACGGACGCATTTCTAGCAACTCCTTTTCTAAACGCTCCTTGAGGCCTAAAAACGAATTGTACGTTTATAGAAATATAAAATAGTTTAGTTATGATTTAATTAAGAAGAATCTACAACGCTAATTAAACAACCATAGAACACATTGCGGTTCCATTATGTTTTAAGAATATCAAGTTGTTTTTAAGTAAATTTACGATTTAAACGTTGTTTTTCTTGTCTATAATTCAACTATTACTGATCGCCTAGTCATTTAAACGGTATTTTTTAAACAAAATTCTGAAATGTGTATTAACAGCCCGATTATTCCGGTCGGTCGGTCCGAAGGACCAAATTATATTATTTTAACGTTTTTATCGAAAAAGATCAAAAACATAGGTGTATGACATTGAAATTGAAATGAATCGAGTATTTCCGTATTATAAACAATTATTATACCAGGAAACTGCGAGCATCCACCAGTCAAGAAGACATTATTCGCCAGCAAAAGTTGATCTTCGGCACTGAAGTGTTTAAATACATACTCCATTGATTCAGCCAAGCCAGCTTCTGGATTCCCCATCATTGATGGCTGGAACATCAATTCAGGCGCCCTAAAAGGTAATAAAAATTGACAAAATTCATATGTTATGGAATTATTTTAAAAGATTTACTGGGTTTTAATCCGTTTATTAAATTGTACAAACGCTGCTATTATATGAAATTTACTTGTGATGATTTCCTTAACATGTCAATTTATGGACGTAAAAATATTGTTTTCACCTTCAAAGATAGTTCTAGAACGCGTCGTACCTTAATTAACAATGAATATTCATTATAATCAATATTAGAAATTACTTTACTCCCCTTAAATTAATATACTATAAAACAAACCAACTCGAATATAATCACGGACAAAAACTACTTAGGTATATTGTTATTTACTTTGATTGAATTTTACTCTTGGGGTATTTAAATTTAAACTGCAGAAAGCATTATTTATCTTATTGAAGCGGTGTCTATAAGCGCAAAGTATTAATGTGTCATGTTGTGTGTTGTACCTGTACGGCTCTATGGCGAGATGCAGCTGATGATGAAGGCTCGATGATGGAGCAGGTTCGTGCTCCCTCAAAGCCTCTTCCAGTTCGAGAAGCCTCTCACCGTCCGCGTCTGAATCAGAGTCTGCCTCTCGACTAATGCTACGATTTATATAAAAAAACGTATTAATAAAGAGTATAGTTACAGTAGACGTGTCAAATATGAAGGTCGTCCGAAATAAGTTTTAATAGTTATTGCAAATTGGATTGGTTAACATCTGTGTATTAATGTTATATTTCTTTTTGTATTTCTGATGCCATTACGAAGGTCTGTGTTTGGCCAACGCTTCTTTGCATTTAGGGGGTCCTTCTTTTATAATAAAATCCCGCAATCTATGGATTTCGTTTTATGATAGTCAAACTATCAAGATATAAACTAACAAAACGCATAAAAATTATGCTAACCGATTTTTTATTTGATTCTGCAGAGGCATTACTATATATTTTGGCTCTGAGAATCCAAAAACTTCACAGACACAGCGCACACGTTTTAAAATAATGAAGCCGTGTTTTATGTTTTTTTTTAATATTTTAAGGCATTAGTGGAAATTAGTGGAAAAAATATTGAAATGACGTTTTTTTTAATATTGGTGATATTCAGCTTAATTATAACTTTTTGAACTGTATAAATTATGATTCCGACAACCTAACAAATATTTAGATACAATACTAGCTTGATTATTATAAACCTCTTATAGACATCCCAATCCGAGTCCTGGTTCCCAAATTCGTCTCCAGCTGCAGCCAATCGGGAGATGACCCTCATCCTCTCAGCCGCAGCTGCCGTGCGCCTGCGCACCATGGCTGCTCGACGAGCGCGACGTGCCTCTCTGCGGGACACTATTTCGCTGTACTGAAAATTTTCAGTAAAATTACTAATACGTTCAAAGCTAATATTTAAAAATACACTTTATTTTGAATTATTTTTATTTTTATAATATCTTCGTATTTTGCAGTTTTTAGAACAAAGTCGCAACATATGTGATTTGAATATATGTATAACAATAATATTAAAACAAATAGTGCCGTGAAAATAAAATACCAGTGGCATTACGGAACAAAGTATATTTTACAGAAGAAATTTATATTATTATATTCATGCTCTCAAACATCACACATAAAACGAGAACAAACAACCACTTATTAAATATGTAAGAAATACAATATACACGTGTGAAAATGACACGAGAACTTACGAATCAGGCAGCGCTAACCAGATCCAAGCAACTTCCTCGCAATCGACCAGCCCGCGATATCGATGCACCCGTCACCCGTGAGGAATTTTTGTATCGAAGAAGTCGCATGGGTCCGCCAAGTATCAGCGAATATACAATATAAATACTTAAATAATAATTAGGTAGGAATACAACAAAGCGAAACAAAAAAAATATATTTTAAGAATGCAACGTTGCTAAAACGAACGATAGGTCATCATGGAGTTGCTGAAAATGTTCACCGAGTCATTTTTCATCACCGTTTTATTGTAAACAATCTTATTGTTAACAGATAAATAACAAATTAAATCTAAGCTAAATTTAGGAATTGAAATTAATTTATATTTAATTAATTAGCTTAAATTTGCCATCTCTAGAAAAAATATCAATACCCTCAATCATAAAAGCCCATACCTTTGCCCTGGTTTCTGCCAACCAGGTCTGAAAAGCCTCAGGGTCTTGTGGAGGCTGCATACGACCTGATGGACGGACCTCCACTTCTTCAGGGTTTGCGGCCGCCGCTATGCGCTGCTTGTTCTTGTCTATACGCCCTTGGACGATTGCTATTTGACGCTTTTTTTTAAAGACAAAGACGCTTTTAAAGTTATAGAATTATCGTTGTATAGACACAAACATTACATTGTTTGGCCTAAAGGTCTAGATACCAGGCCATAAACTCCAAAAAAAAAAAAAAACATTACATTGTATGAAAAGAAGGCAAATCAAGAGAGTCGATAAATTTCAATGTTTAAAACAGGTGGCCCCGGTAGGATGCGAGGGCAGACTCTGTTCTTCTGGTGTAAGTCGAGCCCCATTAAACCCTGCTTCCGGGTGCATGCGCAAATGCAATTCTGCCCCGGATAAAAATGAAGTTTAAAGTTAAAATATGCAACTGGAATTTTGTATGTTTTGTTTGTTAATTTTTGAGATTTGAGCACTCAATAAACAAATTAAAAAACAAACTTTTCAGTTTTATATTAGCAATAATAATAAGAAAACTTTACCTGAAGATCAGCATAGCTCTTTATATCAAATGTTTTTATAGCTTCTTCGAATTCATCGGTATCACCCTCTTCAATTAAGTCCTGAAATTATAAATATATACAAATCTAATACTAAAATTATCTTAAGAATTATTTCATCTATATTGTTAGAACATATCTATAAACATTATATATATGCAAGTGTTATGTGATAGAATATATATTTAATTAATATAGGGAATAGTAAATAATAGTACTTGTATAGCAAGTAATTGTTGCAGCTGTTCCTCGTCTTCTGCAAGTCTTTCCTCTCTTTTCCTAGCGTTAATCTCTAAAAGGCGACGCGCCATTTCCTTTTTCCGTTCTTTTTGTTGTTCAGCTGGAATAAATTTTTTTATAAGAAATATAATAATCTAGAGTAAGAAATTTCTTGTAAACTAAAAGTCACGTCGAGAAAACCCTTTTCTATTCATTGATTAAATCAAATCAGAAAAAGCAGTGTTGACTAGGCCAACACTGCTTTAACTGCTTCAGCGTGCGACTCTCATACGTAGGTTCGATCCCCGGCTTATATAAAATTATTAATTCATGATTTAAAAAGCATAGAGCAGTGAGATATAGACCTTCTATTGGTTCCGATTAGAGATATGGTCCACTGTTTATATATTATTGTTTTGTTTCCTTTTTTACGTTTAGTAACCACGATTTTTTCATTTAACGCAAAGCATACTTTAACTTCTTTACTTAAAAAAAAAGAAGTAGTATAGTCGATTTATTATTAAAATCAATTATTAATATTTAGTAAATCAATTGTTAACAAGTAGATTATAAAACAACGATTGATATAAAAATCAATTATTACCGATTTTAGTTAGTTTACAATATTTTTCAGAAACAATGGAAAATGTAATAAACTATCATACTAAAATTTAGAATACCTGTAAGTGTCGAAGAGCTAGTATTTTGAACATAGGGCAGCTGTATTTTTTTCACATACATGTCATAGTAATCAGGGTTTGCCCACTTCTTGATCTCATCTTGGTAATCCAAAGCAATAGAACAGTGTTCATGCAAAATCTCCTCAATACGAGACATTGTTATTGCATTTACATGAACGGGGTACTTGAGCTGCAATAACTTATGTAAATAGGAAATGATTTCACTTCCGCCTGCAACAGAAAATGTAATAAGATGTGAGCCTGTACAATTTCAACAGCAAGATTGTCAATTTTACCTGTTCTTGTAATCATTATTTTAGAAGTAATGCAAAGAAAAATCTATTTGTCATTTAAATTTATTCAAATAATTAGTACAAAAATTTAAAATACCTAAGTTGATCCTTCTAGCATGCTCAGCTATAACCTTCCCTCTTATTACAGGTATAATATGTATGGTGTGGTATCCACAATTCACAATAAGACCACTATCACCAATGTTATTTTTATAAAAACTAAAGATGGAATCTATTCCATAACTAAGAGCTGGTACACCATATCCCTCAAACAGAAGTTCCGACATTACTGGAAATTAATAAAAATGTAACATTATTATTACAACTTTTCATCAATACTTATAGGCTTATACCCAAGGCTCTGTATTATTTATATAATACTTGAGTATTATGAGTTATATTATGCTTGTTCACTTAGTGCTAAGTCTTGACTCAAAACATACTATTATACAATAATGATCTTCAGATTTATAGAATCTTACCATATCTTGTTAATTATGTATACTAGCTAGGATAATTTCATACACTTACACTGTCTAGAATAGTTAGGCGTCACAAAAGCTTCTGTCATAACAATGGGATGTGGTACACAGCCATCACTATCCAATCCTAAATGTGAAAATATATAATCACATACCAGTTCCTGCACCTCAAAGTGAGTCACAACATTTTTGTCAAACTGTGTTTTCAACTGAAATCTATAGAAAATGACGATAAATTTTAAAATTCACTAAAAATCAAGCAACTTAAGACCATAAAAATGAAGGTGAAATTTTATTTATCTATTAAAGATTTTATTACCATATATGACATGGTTTTGCAGTCTTCATGAAATGCCAACTTTAATAACACAAATATAATGGATAGTGTAATCTAGAATGAAAGTAAAACATACCGCACTGCTTCTATATTGATAATATCATTTCCTATTTGTATTGGTGGAGTAACTGGTGGTTCAGCATCTTTTTTGCATCGATCCTTACGAGGTCTAGCAATAAGATTTTTGAATATTAAATGTGGTTCATCATTTATTGACCATCCTACTCTACATTGATAGGAACCTATATGAAAGTAATTGGTTATTAGCATAAATCATGTAGTATTTTTATATTGTTATGTATAGTTACCCAAATTTTAAGGGAAATATTTACCATTATCTATAACGAGAGGTATATGACCAAATTTTAGCGTAGGCTCATATTCATGAACTATATCGGGAACAGTTTTATAATCTTTCAAAACCAAAACATTATCCATTTTGCAGGTTCAAGTCTATGTTAATAAAATATGAGTAATAGTTAATACAGACATTAGAAACTATGAATTATTTTATTTCCAAAAATAAACAATAACAAGCAGTTTATCGCATCCCACTGTCAAAAATGACAATTGAAAATTGACAAATCCGAAAGTTTTTTTCTTTATGGCTCTGGCACGGTTTGTGCATTAGCCAGCGTCAAGTATAGGATTTTTTTTATAATAATACGAATTATTCGTGCTTGTCTTTTAGAAATCCGACCGTGTCCTTCATGTACGGTTTAAGCACTCGCCCGGTACCGCACAACCCTCCCAAAGGCCGAGAACAAATTTAAATTAAATTAAAACTTGCCCTCGAACCGGGAATCGAACCCGCTATCCCTCACCTAGCTGCCACTTAATAAGACCGCTAGGCTATGAGGCCCCTAAATCCGAAAGTTTCAATGAAGCTAACTCGAGTTTTACTCGCAAGTCGCAGTGATTCACAATTCGATTTTCGATTTCGTTATTCACTGTCTACAGAATATAGCCGAAATGCTCTAGTCATACCCCTCAATGTGCAGCTGTTATAAGTAGCGGCACGTAAGTCTAGCGCTAGCCGATACGTGGAGGGGATTGCTGCGCATGTGTACTGTCGCGCACGCAATACATTATATGTTGCTGTCCGAATGACTGAACAAAGTATTTGTAGCTTCGTCAATCTCACATTGGATTTGTTTCAAAGAATCAATTAATTCGTTAGATTCCCTTTTTAAAAAACAATTCACGTCATAAACCATTTTCCTGGCTTGTCTTTTCAAAACAGTATTTGTTCTAGGCATATTCACTTTAAAGTCACAAACAAACTTAAAAACAAATAACAAACAACAAAACACTAACAAATTCAAACGTAACAAAAAACAACAAAACGTAACAACAGTAACAATAATATTAATGACGCGACTGTACACGAGATGTGCGCGGGGCGTCGTATCGGTGCGGGGGACGGAATGCGACTGGAGAGCCAATCGACGCTACGCGCGCCCGCTCTTCATTCCGCTAGCCCCCCTCAGGTACCTTATTTTTTACTTCTGCGCAATAACGGTCAGCGCTAGAGTTTCGTGCCGCTACTTGTACCTATTTCTTTTGTAGACAGGAGATTTAGGGAGCTCTGGATACGTGCCTCATTTCTGAAATAGGCTCTTTATACTATGTCATTGGCATAACCAAACGGGTAAAATTAATAGAAAATGAAGTCTTAAACGTATAAACCGCGAATTTAATACATTAACCTTATAACTTCAAATTTTAAGTGCATTTTAGCAATTGTAGTCGGTGAAAGACTGCAACATTAAATTGACAGATATCCATTGTTATTTTACATTTCATCATAATAATTGTTTTTAGTTACCTCCTCCACTCCTTCAAAGCGCTCAATTAATAAAGTATGGAGACGAAATAGACACCAAAACCGGCTTCCGTCATTTAAGCGAATTTTTACATTATCATTGTCTAACTTTTGCTAGTGGGTAGGCTGTATAATGTATATGTATATTTTGGTGGAACAAAATATATTGCAGTCGGCACAAATTATTATTAAGGTTGAGACTATAAGGCCAAATAGAGAAACCATGTATCAGTTTCTCTTGATTGAATCTGCTATTAGGTATATTTAATAGATTTTATATATCTGTAACTTGATTTGCCATAAGCAATTTTTAGTACAAGATTATTTAATATTATATCGAGAACCAATAAAAAGAGAGGGAGAGAAATTAGACAAAGAATACTGACTGTTTATAAGTTTATTACAAATTACAAATGATTATAACAAAGCATATAGACCTTCCAGAAGTGAATTGTTTCTTTATTCAAAAACAAATCAAATATTGATTAAATAACAAAAGTAGAAATTTGATAGTTTTGTGCTTTAATAACAATTAATGCATAAATACAGAGTAAAAGCTTCAGTCAAATTTCATAAAGCAAAAGTAAGTGAAGTCAAATACATATTTATTAATGTTACTAAATTTTACAAACTTCAATATATGATTCTTATCAACAATATAATTTAACCTAAAATCCAGTCTTTGGCGATTGGCATACGCGATTTTTATTTTCTTAAATTTCGTATTCCGATTTTTAAATTTCGAGAACTTGAAAAATAGAAAGTGAAAAAAAACTAGGAACGAACACAGCCAAATAATTGCAAAACTTTAACGTTTAACTAATGTACATTACATTATAACACGTTTTGAAATTGCGACCAAAATTAAGAACAGAGTAATCTGACTTCAAATGGCAGTAGTATTAATAAAGGAATTGGCCATTTGCATCATAGCCTTTTTATAGAAGTAATGTGTTCTGTGAAAATAGTATAATTTTGCACACAGTACAGTATACATACACAATATCTTAACTTACAATATTAAACTAGATAACTTTATGAATGCGGCCATTAAATAACTTTTCATGATGAATGATGGCGAGACTAAATACTAAATTCCCTGCAATATAATGTTGCCAAGTGCTTGACAGTAAAGTTAGACGACAAATCGTTTACATCTCTCTAGAGTCTACATCGTCTAACTCACATTATCACAGCCACTTTGCATGGCGTCCATAAGGACAAGACTTGGATCATACTCGACAAGTCCCTTTAACGTGACCCTATTCTAAATTAAATACTGAAACTTAAAAGTGCAATTAAATGCTTATCAGCATATTGTCATTTCACTCACACAACCATAAATGCGTGTATAATCTGTGGTCACAAGTCAAGCACAAACTATCGTTAACGTTTAGAGTAGAATATAAACATTTTGAATATAGAATAAGATTTGAACTTAGATAACAAAATTATAGATATGAGAAGTTTAAATATACGATTAATCTGTATTTTTATATTATAATTTATTAAAATAAGACACAAAGTTAACCTCAAACGGCACTCAAATGAACGAACACGAAAAATTTAAGCCATTTACTGTTTGCCAAAAAACCTCTAAGTACTTTTACCCTATTTCTCGTCTTCGTTCACAGTTTTACCCTATAGAATAAGGTGCATATCAGTCTATTTTGTAATGTTTGAACTGGCAACCTTGTTTCTGAGCCAGCTGTTGGTGCGTGTGAATATGTCGGGTTGCTCCGATGGGTCTTGCCAGGCTTCGAGATTCATTCTTTTGATTTCATCGCAAGATACGATAGGGTTTCTGTAACAGAAACGTTTCATTACCTGTCTGTTTTTACTAATTTCATTGGCTGAACTCTTTTGTTCATGCCGTTAATACAATTTGAAAGAAAGGGACGAAACGATACAACATCAGTAGGTATTCTCGGACTTATAAACAATATTCGACAACATAAATGATCCAACATTATTAATGGAGCTATCATTATATTGTTGACTTAAGAAAAATATTGAAATTTAAATAGGACGTTAATTTAAAACCTTTTAGAGTAAAGATAAAGTCTTTTAGGAGCTTGGCCATAAAGTTATGGAATACACTCCCCGATCTTATAAGAAGCTACCTCCTTCACGTCCTTTAAGAGTGTTCTACTAAACATATCCTGCTACAGTCAAAGTCAAAGTCAAAAATCATTTATTCATGTAGGTAAGACAATGTACACTTATGAACGTCAAAAAAGAAATATCCATTAATGCTTCTAATCTTGCATTTACTGCCAGTTCTCAAATCAAGGGCGTAGATCGGAAGAGAAGATCTGGCTCTCTTTTCTATCGCAAAGTTTTTTGTTTTACACAACGTTTGTAAGGAGCTGCAACCATTACACCATGTTCCACATGACATCATAAATAATAATAAAATAAATTAAATTAAAAATTTTATAACTCTCAAACATATCATTTACATATCTTTAAACTTTTGTTATTATAATAATTTTATTAGCTTTTACTTGATGTTAGTTTTATTTTTTTATAGTGTTATTATTTTCTTTTCTTTTTCCTTACTAGGATTGTACTGTAAGAGATCAGTTCTTAGCGATAAGGCCACCTGTTGCCTTCTTAATGGTATATGTTATTGCTTTGTACTTCTAATACAACACTGTATTGACCCAGTAAAAAAACGAATAGTACATGTATCATTGTCATGTTATGAACTTTATACAAATAATATTGATTCTGATAAGATATCTGCATAATATTGTAGTTTTCCATTAATAAACTTGTTATTTCCAGTCTTATCTTAGTCACATAATACCTAAGGCTTGGTGTATGTTTTATTAAGAATTAAATCTTAAAGTCGCAAAATACACAAATATATGTTTCATATGAAATACGAAAAGTAAATTTATTTTTGGAAATTGCAACAATGAAATTTACTATCTGTCAGATATTTTTAAATTTACTGTTATAAAAACTTTTTTATACTTTTGAATAAATGTTATTTATAAAACGGTAAATTAAATGGTCTGTAGTTATTTCAGGTTTAATCTATATTTTTCAATTCATGTCAACTGTCATTTGTAATCTTTGACAATATTTATTTCCCTATTGACTTCTGGAATATAATCGTTGTTAATAATCATTATTATTATTCAATGGGACAGTAGTATTTAGATATATATAGATAGTAATATATGTATATTTAAATTAAATAGATACTGTGTATATGTCACGCAAGTAAAGATATTAAATTAATAATTTACCTATCACTGGGAGGCTGGAACGCATCCTTCTGAACTCCAGCAATTTCAAGATTGTCACACATCAAACGAGAGAGTGACGCCCTTCGTATTTCCGCGATTTGACGTTTTGAGAAACTTCCCGCTTCGTGTGTGTGCGTGTAGAAATATCTGTCACCGCTGCGCGTGCGCCATAGTTGTTCACCTGAATATATTTATAAACTCTTCTATTCAATAACGGTCTAGAATTTTCTTTATGACAAAATGGAAGCGGACCTTTTTGTGACAACGATGATCTTTTTGACCGTTTCTATGATTAAATTCAGCAAGACCATGAAACAATGCTATTCTTAAAAAACATAGCTTCTAAGATCTATTTCAGATATTTCAACCTGTACTGAGCAATCTATTTTTAGTTTGGTTCGGAACAACCAATCATAAACTTTCTTTAAACAACCTATCACATTCAAGCTAAGCTCGTCACGTGACCCTTTGAAACGTCACGACACCAATTACGAAAGACTTTCGTAAGAGAGATTATACACTGTGAACGCTACTAAATGTTTGATAATAACTTACGTAAGAAACATGTAGCAGTTGGTCCAATCAAAGATCCTGGAAGTGGAGCTTCAGCCATCAAACCGACAACCAAATCAATGTCACCCACTTGCTCGTATATTTGGGACAACTTGTCTACCATCTGAAACAAGATTTTTAGTGAAATCAAATGAGCCATGGAATGGGCAATACAGATAGTAGATTATTGTCTTTGATTGTTTTGTACTTTCTGAAAAAAATGTATGCCAAGCTTGGGTTGACTCGGGTGGACGATTATAACAAATAATGTAATCTACAAAATTTGTAATATAAACGAATTAAATCAGATTTTTTGCGATTTGCTTTAATTATTAGGGCTATTAACATACCTCTTGTGGAATCACATCAGTCAGGTGCGAGAAGCTAGTCGCAACAGATAAGCCACAAAGTGTACGGTACTGGGAGTATCCGGGAATTCCGTGGTCTCTTCCGCGCTGTATGTCAACTGCTAGTACATCGAGGCTGCCCAACCAGTGGTTACGTAACTGTAGACAATAGAAACACGATAGTATAGTCTGTGATCGATGATGTTTTTAAGTAGTTTTTATATCTATTTTTACAGCGTTTTATATCAAGGATCATTCAATGACTTTCTTATTTGTGTAACTATAAAATCAAATAAACTTTCAATTAAAATTTTGATACAAAATTCAAATAACAGTTTAGATCATAGAGTATAGAATTATCTCTATATATTTTCAATAGATCTATAGTTGTATTATTCATTCACAAAGCTAGTTTTTTGATAAGAGCCACAAAGGATTGATTTTGGGAAAGGTCGTATTTTTGTTAAATTTCATTAGTCTCGGCTTAAACAATTCATCGACTTCGAGAATTTCGATTTATAATTTTAGTCTCAATTATCATTGTTTTTTCTCAATTCTGTATGTGACACGTATGTAAACTGTTTTAAATTTGTTTTTTTTAAGCGAGTCGATATTAAATTATTAATGAGAGTTTCTGACATTAACGCAAAATTAGTCATATTTAAAATTTAAATATATTGCTATAGTCTATACACATAAAATTTTTCAAGTCACAATTCAATTATAATAATATACAATAAAATCAATTAATGCGTGATTAACGTTAGTTAATAACGTTTATTCACTCCAAAAAATCCTAGGAATCGAACCCACGACCATTAGGTCGTTAAACTTCACATATATATCCAGAAGCATTTATAGAAAGTACAAAACACTTCATAAGCGGGTTTTAACAAACACACAGAGACATCTATCGGTGTACAAATCTAAAACAACATGCAGTATACGATACTGATTTTAACAGGCAGATTTTCCTTAAGACGCTTCTATGGACGCCGTAACGGTTTAATAATTATATTATTAGCCCGTGTATCGTCCAGTCGAATTAACTAAACTATTTAAACTTAAAATAAAAATGGAAAAGAGTTAGATATAGGCAAAAAGCATGTGTTCATGTCATTTCTGTGTGTGTACAGTTAAAGCCGTCGGGACATTTTTAAATACTACGTTAAGACTTAAGCTGTACAGGAAAAGTGATAAATATAAATAGAAGGTTAAGGACTTTAAACCTTTGTTTACCTTGAGTGTATTTTAAATCGTTCAAGGCAAATTGAAAAAATATCATGTGTGTAAAGCGTTTCATTTTATCAAAAATTATCTATGAACCAAATGCCAACAACCAAACCAAACCCTTGTGAGCAATTATTAACTTTATATTTGTCATTTATTATATGAATTCCAATGAAATTAATACGTAATTATATTTATTATATGATATAATCTTAGTAAATCTATAATAATATTACGAAAGTATATAGAACTAACGCGTAATTTGATAGATAAACTTTAAGATGGAAGATGGAAAAAACGAGTAACATGATGGATCAAAAGGGTCAAAGACCCCAAATGCCAATAGCCATGCAAAAGGTAGACCTTTCTAAAACTTCTGGCCCATACTGGCACCAGGTAGCTTATATCTGTTTCCATATAAATCATCTGAAAGGCTTTGTTATTTATATTGTTTATCAAAAGCGAGAAATAGAATGTACAAATAATTTTAAATAATTACAAATGAACATACGTTTAATATACTAAAATATTATTGATTAATAATATATTGCACTTGACATTCATATGTCCTGATTTAAAAACACTTGTTCAATGTCTTTTTAATGTTAATGATGACTCAATTAACCGCGCGTCAATAGGTCGGTCAAATATATTAATAATAGGACAATCTCAATCTAAAACCGTTCCTTCTTATAAATACCAGTCGTAGATAGTTACTAAACTCACATGCTAATGATTACATATGTTTAGTAACAAATAGCCTATTGAACGAGTCCTCAGATTTTTTGAAAATACCAGCCTTTTTAGTTCTGGGTCTCAGATTTCTGTATCTGTTTCATGATAATTTGTCAATCTAATAGGCAAGTAGGTGCCTTACGCTTGCAAACCCCGTCGACTCTTTGAGTCTAAGCTGGTTTCTTCACGATGTTTTCCTTCACCGAGCGAATGTTAAATAATAATATGTATATTAAGACCATTTGCATTTTTAGTCATAAAAACTACTTGCGATTATGTATCGTGTTGATTTAATTTAGCTTTAAAATAGAATATACTTGAAGTTGACTAAGATTTATATCAAAGATTGATCCTAACGTCGAAGTCCACTTACATCATCATCATAATTGAAGTCCAAATCCTGAGCTTTCTGGCTTGCCATGCCCAGTAGAACGCTTTCCAGACCTCCTTTCTTCGCAATTAATTCTGGCTTGAAATAAGTTTGTTTTAGACGTAGTGATGTAACGTTGCCATCGATGAGTATTATGTCCTGATCAAGGAGACTGTTGACGAAGTGAAAAGCGGCGGTCGCAAAGGCATTCGTGATTGTTGGATCTGTGTCGGAATTGTAGCCGACGTCATAGCTGTCATATAGCTGGTCAATGGATTTTCCTGTAACGAAAATGTGGAAATTAGATCATATATAGGTTATAGAGCTTTCTAGAATTCGTGCTGTTAACGCTTGTTAGCGTTAAAAATAGGAATGCAACATATATTCGCTGTATTACATAATTAACTGACCTTTTTTTATTGCCAGTTGAGTGAACTTACAATTTTTTTATATATTGATAGTGCCGCCAGATAGGTACAGATAGGTAATTTTAGCTTGTTTTGTGAGTGAATTTTGTATGTTGGTATATTGTTTTGTGTGCGAATTTTTGATTGGCTATGCATTCTTGTCGATTTAGGTCGCCTGTTAGAACAGGATTGAACAGGAACGTTTTTTTTTTTCAAATAAATAAAAACATTAATTTTTCGAAATTTTAGGAAAGCGTACCAACTTTTATCTGGGACCCTAAGTCGAATTGGTTCGGAATTACTTCAGTTGGCAGCTGGCCACATAGTGGTGGTTTATGAGACTGCTCCCGCAAACTCGGTATGCGAAGTTATATTTTTAAAAATCTGTGCGAATCCGTTACGATAGAAATTGATCCACAATTCTCAGAATGATAAATTTTAAAATGACATTGACATTTCTTCGAATATTATAAGTACTAAAACCAACTGAATTATTTTGTATGACTTTCTGATTTGTATCTTCACCTAAATGTATTCGTACCGGCCTGTTCGAATCGGACAAGAGAAAGTATTGTATTTTTGGTCAAGAAATTATAATAACAAAGTGAATATAAACAAAGTGAGGTCGTAGACCTTAGATTAATTATACCTCTGCTTGGTATGAACATAAATACGTAACATTTTTTAATGATGTTTATTTTTCAAGTGGGTCTATATTTATGGGTCTTTAAAAAATAATGCTAATTGAAATTCCAATTTTTTTGGTGTATATTTTTTAGTAGGATTTTTTTTATTATTACGCTTTGCAATTCGTATTTATCTTTTTTTTTTTAAATAAAACAAAAATTACCATCTAAACCGGAATTAAAAATTTCAAAGTTCTACCAAGTTTTTTTAGTATTTTTCCAAAAAATTTCTTAAAGTATATTTTAAGTATACTAGCAGTAATAGTGGGAATTCATAGTGGGAATTCATAGTGGGATGGTTACTAGTTAGGAAGATAGGTAAATGAACGTACATGATTGTCGCACTGAGTTTGATGTGACGATGGTATATACCTACTTGCTTGTCATTAACACATAGAAACAAGAAACATATATTACACGAACCGAGATCAAAGTCTACGGCCTTGATCACCTAACCATTTTCAAACAAAATGTCGAGATACATTAAACGTTCAAATAGATTGTTGCTATTTAATAATCGCTCTTAATGGAGGCGCACGTGAGGCCGATAGAATTGCACTTAGCACGTGGCAGCGGTCACGATGTTTGCGACTGACTAAATACTTAGCAAAACAATTAATGTCAATTGAAGGCAATATAGTTAGATTGTTTAGGTAACATGTTTCTTAACCATATATATCTCGCAGCCAACTAGTTTAATTAGCAGTTCAATTAACAACCTAGCCTTTTAACGAAACAGCGCCGTTTAACTAGCGGCCTGAAAGATATTCAGCCAGTTGATTAAACAGCTAGGCAGATGACTTGGATCGATGACGTTTTATTACACTTGTGTTTCGTTAACAATTTCCTAGTGATTTCTACCTAAAATCTATAATTTAAGTTTCTTATGTGAACAATTTAATGTTTAATATTAAAAATTATTTATGTTATACATAGGGCATAGGAATTTTAGACAGCTGTAAGGTAAGGTATGGCACAAAAATGTTGGAAGACACTGGTCCAGACGTATTTCTTTGCAAAAGTTTTTAACGCACGTTTAGTGTTTTACATTAAAAAAATCTATTTTTTATTGTAGAAATCAGATTGCCTTATAATAAATCGTGGATCAACGTTAACCGTGTTAGTTATCCATACCCGGCCCTTAGCGTAATCAAAAATTATATACCCAAACCTTCATCATAAATCAAAGATAAAAGTGAAAACCGCAAAATAAACAGCGTGCAGTAGATTTCAGTTTTTCGTCAAAAATCTAAAACTCTCGTTTAACGGACGTAAATAAATCAATAAAGCTTTTTATAAATTTGACGATTATTTCAATGATCATAATCCTTATTGATTTGCTCCATTTCAAACAATTTGTTCAAACTTGGCGATTAAAAAGAGTGGCGGTGAGTTTCTTGCCCGCTATACGCCCTTCACTTGCGAACTGGTAGTAAATATAAATTTAGAATCAATTTAACATCTTCTCTGTAGACGTTCATAAGTATACTTGTTTACCTATATGAATAATATGCTGTAGGTGACGCGTTATCAAGCTCTATAACTTTACTCCAGAACTCATATTTCCATGTGAAGGCAACGTTCGTAAGAAACGTTTTCGTTCGAACGACTCCGACTTTACAACTCCATTCATCGGGTTATATAATCTACAATACACATTAAGCGAGAGCTCCAGATGGAGAGCTCAAGAAGCGATGTATGGTGCAATGTTCTAAAACAAGAATTTAATAGAAGAACATACCAGTAAGTGCAGGTAGCCAATATTTATATGTAATATGTTGTAGTTCGGCCACAACAATCCTTCTCACTTCGTGATAAAGTTTATCCGAATTCCAGCCAGGGTTCAAGACGGCTAAACTCCTTGCGATGCGATTGTGCTCTCGGACAAACAGAGCATGGATCGCCGTCAGCCATGGATGCAGGTTAGCGCGGATGTCTCCTGAAGAAGTTTAGTCATATTAGCAAAACAAATATACAAATGTATAAAATATATTTGCATATTCCTTAAATAAGAATTACGATTAGAGGTATTTAAAAACATCTTCAATACCACAGAACTGGTAAATTAAAATGGTAAGGGAATGTTGGCAATGGCAATTGACTTTAGGCATTTCTTATCTATGTTCGAGACGGCAGATTATTAAATGAATCCACTTATAATAAACAGTTAAGATAAAAAAAAACGTGTGTGTACTTATGTACACGCGTTAGAAGTTGTACTTCTTTGGCGTAACAAGATAAAAATGTTTTAAATTTTTTTGTCTTTAGGGAGCGTTCAAGTATTACGTTACGCAATTTTTGGAGATTATTGACATGATCCCCGCCCCACATAGTAACGTTTTACAAAAAGACAACCCCCTCCCCCCAAATTCGTTACGTAATATGTACTATAACAATAGAAAAAAGGTATTTAATGCATGGAAAGTTTTATTATAACGCATTACCTAGTTAAATAAAGTTTATTTAAATATCACAAAAATTTATTTCGACATAATTACATTTTTTATTTTAAAATGTTGACTATGCTAACTTCAGAGTGTCGGTTTTTTGTAACGGTGTGCGCGCGCATCGTAAAAATTTACGCTCACCATTTTTCCTTAACGCGCCAAAACAAGTATAACTTCAAAAAAATGCATAAAGATTTTTGTTTACGTTTGCTTATGTTCGATGTGACAAGGACAAAAAACAATTAGGGTTAAACAATTTATTACCCACCCTAAGGGTATATTTTAATAACAAATATTCAATTCACACCTGTGTTAAAGCAGGCACCGTCACTATTCACCAGACACTTCTCAGACGGGTTGCCCACCAAGGGAAGAAGTTCTTCATCATCAACAATCGAGGTCTTCAGCAGACCGCCACTCTTTTCACGGAGGGATGCAGCATCGCGGCTATTTGCACCATAAATGTGGGATCCGTCTAGGAAGTGGGTGGCTTGGTTCATCTGTAGACAAAATATATTAATTACTACACAAATTTAGTAAATTTAGAAATCTGGAAATATCTAATACTAGTTTCGGAAGAGTAGAAGACGTTAAAATGGCAACATTTTCAGATTTTTATAATTCAACTAAATTCTTATCTGTCTAAGGGTCGATTCGACCAAACTTCAATTTATACACGAGTAACTATACCACGAATAACCTATTCCATGATTTTAATCTCGAGTAAATCCATAGTCGTTTCTCCACGTAATCGATAGTATAATTGCGCTAGGAATAACAATACGCGAATAGCAAAGAGAATGGTGAACGAAAATAAAACTCGGCAAATAAATGTTGTTCTACAACGGGACAGTGTAAGAGCATACATCATGCCAACTCGATTTTGCCGTATTATTGTGTGAAAAAGTAGCTTTTAACAGGTGTCAAACGCCAACAAAAAGTTTTTATTTGTTGTTTGTTTGAGGCTTTCGTCTAAAAAGGAACTTCTGTTGAGCCTAGTTGATTTCATTATAATATTATAGAAAATAAAAAATCTACAAATAAATAAATAAATAATAAATTGTTTAAACGTTTCATTATACAATGCCAGACTATTAATTTAGTACATTGGGTTGACTTGAAATTAAAACACAGAATACATATTTGTGAAATGACAGAAATCAGATGATTGGACTGACTGACGCCATTAAATTATTCTAGGAATAGCTGTTATTCCGTGCGAAACGGCGGTATAGTAGCAATTCCCAAATAAGCCCACTATTCTTAGAATTTGTAGTTGGTAAAACGTAAAATTGATTTACTCTCGATTAACTGACGATTTATTCTAAGATTAAGATTTACTCTTGTTTGGTCGAATCGACCCTAAGTGCAAAAAAAGTATAAGTAATTTAATATGTTAAGTGTTCTGCTTAGTCACACACACAAATACAAAACAATATGCAGGTTATATAGCCTCAATTATGCGGTTAAAGTATGTTCCGTCACGTTTTTTATTTACCAAATGACACGAGAGGGATAAGGAAAAACAGTCAATATTTTTAAGATTTATAGTATGTTTTTTATAGATTTATAGACGTCCTAGCGGTGTCCCCTAGGTTCACAAGCATTAAAGGTTGTTGCGTGACAAATTAACTATGAATAAAAAACAATTGCAACTCTAGCTTTACAATTTTAATATAAATAGTACATTTATTATGGCATATATCTTAAAATAATATTTAATTTTTTCAAAAATGTTTGAATGCTGTTATCAGAAAAAAAGGGAGGTTTTCTGTTAGTGATATTTGCTATTTCAATTATTTAAATATATATCACGTCGTCACAATAAACAAAATTTGACACCAATATAATTCTGTATTCATCATGTTTGTGGTGACAATAAACGAAATTTGACACGCTTACAATTCTAAATCTCATATTTAATCTTCTTCAGTACTAAGCAAAATAAACTGCGCAGTATTTGCTAATCGGTAATTATTTGTTTTCTAATGTGTGCACGAAGTTTAACCTCAATTATTAATGACAACTTCAAAAATACAGATAGTGTGACACTCGTGCGCACTGTCGAATATGTCAAACTGCAGAAAAAACGGTTGAACAGCTCTTAAAAAAGATAGGCGTTCCAGAATATCTCGACTTAGAACTCTCCGGCCATTTTCTTTCTTATAAAAATTAGAAACATAAAAGCACATTCATAATACCTTTTGAGTTTAAATTTCTGTGTCGTTAATGAAAAAAAACTACCGAACGTGTTTTCGTAACCAATAGAAAGAAGGGTTTCTAAGAAAGATTTGGGTGTGTTGTTTTATTTAAATTATTTGAATATTGTTGGACAGTTCGTAAAATACACGACAACGCGGGAACGGAGTAACATTTCTCTATAGAGATCAATGGCAATATTTTATTTACAGCAAATTCGAAAAATCTCTTTGAAGAGTATTTAAATTAAAATATTTCAGATTCAAAAAGCTATGCAATTGCGACCTATAAATAAATCTGAGAGCTCTAGGGACAAGGGCAATGAACTGTTCAGTAGTGCCAACTTCACATTATCTTGGGAGTAGAATAAGGTTGTATACATCTGGCAACTAAAAAAAAGTCGTTGATTAATATTTTCAAGTTTGTAATTAAAATTGAATTGAAAATTTATCCTGATAAGATGGACTCCTGACCTGATAAAAATCCTTTTTTATTAGACTTGATTTATAAAACAGATTACAATTCTCATATACATAATCTATTAATGTTTGCGACATATTATTTATTTTATATGCTCATTTTATTATTGTGAAAATATCTTCTGAATAAATTCTATGACTTTGCCCTAGATAAACAACATAATTAATGAATAACCTTCGCTTTTATAGCCATTGCGATATCGATTAATTTATCTAACTGCAGTCGGAGGGGACTATTTTTAGATATAACAAGTTCAACACGTTTCTAGACTCATGCGCATAGGAAAAAACAAATCTATTTAAAAGCCTTAAGCTTAAAAACCGGTGCAGACGTTTTTGTATTCATCTTATATACATTAGAATTATAATTATCTTACAAAAGTGTATTAATAAATTGGAGTTCCATTGTTCATAATACCGTTCCTATTCATATGTATTTTAATAAGTTAATAAAAAAAAGCGGCCAAAATCGCGAAAATGCATAGTAAGACGTTTGTCTTTGGCCTAAATTAAAATCATGCTTAACGTTCTTAATTTAAAAGTTACAAAGGCGCGAACAGAACTATAGACAAATAACAGATCACTTATCGACAAGCAAATAACTAGTTTTTCTCTTTTATGGATAGAATGTTACGTACAAATTAAGAAGAAATACTTTTAAACATGGAATGCACCGTTCATGAACAACATAATATAGTTCAATAAGTTGGGAAAATTTGTAGACTACTTTGAGTAATATAACCTTGGTTAATGATTCAGTTACAATTAAATTCAACATTTACTTGAGGAAAATATTAATAAAATCTGATCTTTAGAATGCGTGTGTGTAAATTGATTGCTTAGCCGTTATTCTTAAGTAGATTTATTTTGCTTTAATTAAACGAAAAAGCCAATAAATATTAGGCTAAATTCTATAAAAAGTATTGAAAAGTACTGATAGGGGCAGATTCAGGGTCGACACTTAAGAAATATATCATAAATAGATAACTCGACGCAGACGAAGACAATATTATATGCAATAATTGTAATGTTAATGTTGTTTTTATACCACTTTGGTTTATTTAAAAAATTAAAAAGAATACGGAAAACTCCTTGTGTTAACTTGAAGACATAAGAAAAAAACATTTTAAAAACTTGTTTTCCTACCTATAAATAATTCTCAGTAATGATCGACTTGTTAATTAGTAAATAATTCCTTCAATTATTGAAGTGCAGTAAACAAGTATTGACGCAATGCAATAAAACTTATTATTAAAATTAAATGTGCATTGTAATATTTTATTGCAAACGGACTTTGTGTGTCACCATATAATCATAATGGCACAATTAAATATTAGAGATGCAAATTATTTTTTTCGTCTCTTTCTTTCAAATTAACGTTTTTATTTATAATTTAAATATTGGGTAATTGTATGTTTTATTGTAGGAACGAAAAAACAAATCTATATATTTAAATAAAAATGAAAAATAAGGTGACTAAAACTCGTAAACTTCGTAAAACTCGAAGACGGCTAGACCAATTCGAGTATTTTTTGTTTATTCCTAGAACTCTATAAGGTTTTTATATTGTAGTTTTTATTCCGGAAAATGGAAGTCTCTATGGAGAAGCATAGCAAAATGTTCCATACATTGGTATGTAGCTACTAAAAAGGTAGGCTAAGTAAAAAAATCATGTTAAGGCGAAACGAAGCTCGCGGGGACAGCTTGTAAAAAATAACATACTATTAATATTGAATAACGGATCGTGGTTTTCAATTTTCATGTCTAGATTCTGTTGACCATAGAGTAAAACTGTGTCTATTATAATTGTATTTTATGGTCAAGAATCTAAAACTGCCTTGAACCAATCGTTATCACAATATGCGAGAATTAAGTAGGTATGTCGCATACGTATTTGTTAAGGGAAACTAAATTAACCACATAAAACAAATATAATGCTTAGAGAACATTTTACTCTAAAGTCTACAGAGTTTGGTCATAGACACACAACGATCCGTTATTCCAAAATTCGAAAATTTTAACTTTAGTTTGTCGGTGTTTCCTATTTATATTACTTAAATTTTTTACCGATTTCAAAAATGTTTATTATTGGATAGTATTTGTTCCATTACAACCATCAAAATTCAGTATATTTAGTGGATTATTGTCACATATTTTTTTTAACCTTACCTGTTCCGCGGCTCCAAAAGTACAGTCACCGCGATAAGTTGTCACTGACCGTGTGTACTCCATACAAACGGTCATATCAGGATCCCAATCAGGCACCGTAATGGGCATACAGCTGGGATGCAAGTACCGTGGTGTCAGATGTAAACCTGAATTGTCGCAGCAGCGGATTGGCTGGTCCGTGTGAACTACAAAAAAATAAAAGTAGAATAGTTTTTTTCTAATAGGCCTGACAAAAACATCAGTGACACCGACCTCAGATTTCTGTATTTGTTTTATTGATCTTGATTAATAATCTATACGCTCCTACGTCAAAGTATCAAAAGCATAGAACGATACAATTCAAACAAAGAAATTATCAGTTTCCGCGATAAAACCTAAGGTCACGACACACAATGACGTCACTGTGACGTCGTTGTTAGCTGATGCTGTACTTTCATTTTGCTAGTATTAATAGTGCTAACAGACAAGTTAAAAATATTTAACTACTGATGCACACCGGATTCAGGAAAGGGCAACTGGGGCCACCACAAAAGAGGCCCCCTCACTAGAGACGTTAATGATAAAAGAATCTATACATGGTTTCACAATAAATTATTTATTGGATCAACTCGTCTGAAAAAATTTACCATTTTATTTGGAAAACAATTTGGGACCTCCACTCATTTGTTGCCCTGAGGCCTCCAGACCTCTAAATCCGGCATTGGTTTCATATTATTTTGAATTAGATACTTTATAATTTACGTACTTGTTTTCCTCACAGGTGTATGGACCAAATCATGGTAGATGAACTGACTCCATACAGCCAATGCGATGGTTTTCCTATCATTTGGCACGTCCGAGTTATTAGCCAAGTCGGTGCTCACGAGTCTAGCCGACGGTAGCTCCTTGTGACTCATCGCCCGACGGGGCTATAAACAAATGTTTAACGTCCATTGTTTTCTATACAATTGGTGATAAAAATTGTAGCGGCTTATTAGAGTTACAATTATGATTAATTGAACAAATGCTTAAGTGTTCGAAAATTCATTAGAAATAGAATTTGGTTAGAAAGTCATTAGAATTTGGAAAAATTTTTGAAAAAAAAAACAAAATTTAGGCCAAAAGTTTTGTTTGCGCAAAATTTGAATGCAGGAGTTCGAAATTTGAATTCTTAAATTAAAAATAAAGATTACGAATGAAATTTTTTCTATTGAAAAAAAAGCCACATTCCAAATTCAATATTCGTATCGGAGTTTGCTTACAAAACTTTGTATGTAAATTTTATATATGACAGTGAATCGGGCCTAACCTCTTCAATGCCATCAGCATATCTTGGATGTAGGAGTCGTTTGTAGCCAGTAAGCGCCTGGCCCCAGGATGAACGAACTGGATTGTTGCAGGAGCCATCAAAAGTACGGTATCTTGACGACATCTTGTTTGTGCGACAAGTAAACCTCTCTAATTGCGCACAATCTCCGCCATATTCACTCTCACGCAGATTCAATGTACTTATATAGCTCGCGCACTCATCGTTGGCCAAGCCGTATCTGAAAAAAACTCTTTGATTAATAATCTATCTATTTAGTGCGACATTCTACCATTTTGTTTTTGTACGCAAATAACATACATACCTAGTACAACGTGTCCAAACAAGATTTTGCGATGCTTTTGTAATCGTCATCGAGGATTTTTCATACTTCATTGCCTCTTTTGAGGGTAGACCGATGATCGCCAGCCCTTGGGCGGCAGATCCTTGTATTGGCTTTATCCCTGAAGCCTCCAAGTTGTCTTCTAAACGCTCAAGCATTGCCACTGTCATCTTACTGATACTAATCGACCTGTTGGTGTTAGCAGGAGTTATGTGTGGCAGTTTCTTGAGCATTTCTGCGCTCGGAAATGGGAAATCATACATCGGTGGTGGATGGTAGAATTCTGTAACCAAAATTACTTTTAGCACTATACTTGATGAATTGTATAAATAATATGTGTCTACATGTCCTTGGAACGTAGGTTGGCAAGAATAGTTAGATGCGCAGGAGTTGGGTTTTCGCATTGCACGCTAAAATCGTGTCAAGTTACGCACGAAATACTACTGCAATGTCCGTTGAAATATGTAAGAAATGTCAAAAATTGTGATATACCTGTATTCATGATCAAATTCAAGGGGTAGGGAGCAACACGACTTCCGAACGTGACTCCCGCCCATAGCACCACGCCCAGTAGTACCAACTTCATGAGTTCCTCCAGAATACTGTAAAATTACAGTTGAATATATTTTGGTATCACAATCAAAATGGGACAATTAAAATGTACTACGTTTTAATGCAAGATTCATTCGATTGATTTGAAGAATAAAGCAAAACTGAGCAATTCTCACATCACAAGAATTATAAAAGGTTATCAGACCTCTGATAAGTTGACCACACGTTTCGTCAGTTATACGATAAATATAATTGGAAGGCGAGCCCCCGGCCCTTCAAATAATAATTCACACTCTTTGAGTGGATGCGTTGCCGGCATTTGAGTGGATGGTCTTTTTTAAAACAAAACCTTTTGAGTGGGTAAACAAAACATACAAACAATACAGTCAGGCATAGATTATGTATGACATTTTCGGGCCAAATTTTAAGGAAATTTTTCTTAGGTACAAAGTAACAAAAACAACAGGCGTTTTCGAATTATTTTGCTTTAGTGCCTAATCCGTTAAATGCTATAGCTATTATATTAGATGTAGGATTACGAAACAAATAAATAAATAAGTTAATGTTTTAATACATTTTAAACGGATTCTGTAAAATTTATAAATTATATTGCGTCGAAACATTGCGCGTAATATGGACGAGAAGTAATGCGTCACTCGTTTTAATTTGAGAGGATTCATGATGATTATTTTGTTTTAAATTTTAACAACGATTACCGATAGGATCCTAGATATTGAAATCCAGTTAAGCAAAATTTAGTTAAAATTAATATAAAATAAAATATAATAATATTTTTTCTACTGGAGAGACGTTTGGCAACAATCCTACATGATGTTATCCCACCTGTTGGAGGGTAGTCCTGTCCAGAAGTTGCCTATTTAACCACCGCTTACATAAACCCATATTCTAATGTCTAGGGTAGATGGCTATGTATGTATGAGTAATATATGTATAAGTATAAACGATCGAAATCGTGCAGTGCGGTCAACAACTCCAGCGTGCTTCGAGACGAGCGTTGTTTGAATGTTTTATTACTGATAAATTATGTATATGTTTACATAGTAGAAAATTATTTTAGAGCTGGTGCTTTCGCTCAACGAATAAGTATCGCAATACAGCGAGGAAATGCTGCCAGCGTTAAAGGTACAATGCCTAAAGGACCAAACTTTTAAAATTTGTTTTAATTTTCTTTTTAATTATTTTTATTATTACTTTGTAGGTTAAGAAAATTGTAAATAATTATACGTACGAAGCAAAAGTAGGTTAAGAATATTGTAAATACTACAAAAATAAAGTAAACAAATATGTAATTTTTGAATAAATTCCACAACCATGAAACTATTTGTATTGACATTACGATAACATTGCAAATGAAGGTCAGGCCCTATGCGTACTGCGATGCTACGCAGGTTTTCGGAGGTAATTTTTCAATGAGATTTATGAGTCGTTCAAGCAACCAAACAAATCCCTTACCATTATCATATTACCTATATACGCGGACTTTAAAAGATCTATTTGATGTCTGTAGCATTACTTAGTACTATTGTCACCGTAAAACTGATATTCTAGATATATTTTCAAGTGTTTCGTATATATTACCATACTATATATACATAATCCACTAGAGGACCCGACAGACGTTGTCCTGCATGATATTTCAAGCGATTAGGATATTAAACAAAGTATGAAAGTACCGACTGCAGCGCCATCCCGGGCTGATTTGTGAATCTAAACCATCCAGGGCTCCACCCAAACGCATACAAACAAAATAATTAAAATCGGTCCAGCCGTTTAAGAAGAATTCAGTGACATACACACGTACAGCAGAATTATGTCTATCTAATTATATTATGTCGATACCTCCTAAGTATACTGAGTCAACTGACATTTTAGTAATTTTATAGGAGAGCCATTTTAAGGCAAATTGTTTATATTTTAATGAAATCAAACTAATTCGGAATAAATTAAATGTTTTTTTAATAAAGATTGAAAGCTCTTCCTTTGGTATAACATGATTTTGCTGAATTTTGTTTTTAAATGATATTTTATGTACATGACTCATTATACACGGGCGGGCCTGAATAGTAAAATGGTTTAACTACCAGTTATATTCATGTACGTTGTACATGAAAATCCATGACTTACTCGAAAATATTACGAAATATGATAATCATTTTATTAATATCATACTACTTTTGGTTATTTTCGATTTTTTTTGTCCCACTTAATAATAAAATGTTGAAATTACATCACTTGACTCATTATACTAGGAATGTACTTACCTATGTTAGTAGTTAAAACCTCAACGTATACTGGACTAATATAATTAATCTAGGCTTTTTAATTACTCATTTTAGGTATTTCGAATACCTCACGAAATTAATAAAGGTTAGGAAGAAGTAGTCTCATTTAACAAAACAACACATTTAAAGAATCACAATGTATTTTTCGTTTATACTAAGTAGGACCCGTTTTTGTAGTTTTTGTATCCGACCCGTTTTTGTATCATGAAAGTTTCTTGAAAAGTAACAAACATCAATAAAAATAATAGAAACTAAAAATGGTAACTTACGTTAAACAATATTAATAAAAATAATAGATATGAATAATATAAATATCTAAAAATCTAGGAAATTCTAACGCTCAAAAAATTTATATAAGGTTAAACAAAATAAATAAAAATATTAAAGGTTGAACGAATCAAAAATCAGTCTGAATCACTATCTTCTGCTCCATTAGAGTTATTTAGATAGATAGATAGATCCATCATTAGTAGTTGTCCAGTTGTTTATAAGTTTTGACTTTGATTTGAAGTCCTTTATTAAATCCTGAGACACTTCAATAACTGTGTATGTATCTAAAAGCTGTATATCATTGATCAGGCATATAAAGCTTTTTATCTTTGTCCGTCTTTCAATTAAAGCGTGCATACTGTCGCCTTCACTTTGTGAATGACCCACTATTAGAAAGCGATGGCTAATAGCTATACTACACTTTAAACTACCTAACATATACATTAAGAAATAAATCCTATTTCTATGTTGGCCTCCACAGTTGTCTGACTAAAACCGGTAATCATTGACACCTTCACCACCCGTATCTTCTATAAACTTAAAATGATAGTTGGAAATTTCAATTGCACCTCTCTTTGCTGTCTGTTGATACCATCAAAAGCAATCACCTTGGCGAGATCCCAGAATGAATATCGTGAAATTATACAAATAATGTTTCCGTTTATAATAAAAAGTACTCACGCTCTCGTGAGGTACATACATTAAGACACTTTTGAAGATCAGATGCTGATGTAAGGATTTCATTATTTTGTAACGCTGATTTTTTATCTTTTGTTTTAATTTTTCTAGCTTTCTCTTTTTTTAAAATGCTCTTCATGCTTTTCTTTATCTGTCTGTAGAACTTGCTTGTTATTTTCATAAATGTGACATTGTTCACAAAAATCTTTTTTGGGTTTATAAAAACTATATATAGATATCTCGATATTGTCTCACGGTAGTCCATAAACCATTCGATTCATGAACAGTTTTGGGAAGGATAAAAAGCCTTCTAGATAATTTTTACTTGATTTTTGGCGAGTGTAATATGACTCTACAGGAGAAAATGCTTCAACGTGATCTATAACACTGTGAACGTCATCGGATGGATTATATGTTCATCCAAAGACCACGCTGATCTGATTTAATAAATCCATTACCTTTATCGGACTTTTCTAAAGCTGTATAAGCAAAATCAAAACTAATAGAAAGAGTTCTCAAGAACATAGTTTTGCAAACCGATATTTTTGTGGTCTCAATATTATCTCCTTCACTCCTTTTTATCGACAATATTTTTTCTCTTTTTTTCCAGCTTTTACAGCATATCTTGCCAAAAACCCATTGTCTTGAGTGGTCCAATAATCCAAAACATTCTGTTAATTTCTCACTGCATTTTTTCCATAAGTTGAGGGGCAAGAAGTTTTCATAATTCTCGTAGCATGAACTCTTCCGTTTCTACTGACATATTCCAATCCTCTATTAAGCTTATATTTCCTCTCCTTATCCATACATTTTTTATGAAAACTCTTAGCCTTTCTTTATCTTTTTTCGCAATGGAAATGCGCTTTTGGCGTTATTGGACGATGAGTATGTGATATCATTAATGTCAGAAATTAACAGGAGATGAGTCAAAAGAATTATACGGCGATGGTACTGGAGTAATATCACAATAATTTTCTATAATGCTATTCTGGATGGGCGAATTACCTGGAGTGTTCTCTATGACTGATGGCGATCGATCTCCTTTTTGAGTTCAGTTATCAACAATCGATACCCAAGGCGAAGAGCAAAGAATAATATAATCTAGGAATAATATGTAAGCATTAGAAGGGATATTCTGCGATACTTCCTAATTCTTGATTGATTGATTGTAATCAATTGATTCTAATCAATATCATCAAGTATTGAGAGCTCCTCTTCCATAAATTTGCAATTTTTTTTTGCAATTTGCATCTTCCATAAATCTTCCATAAATTAGCAATTTGCATCCGGTGGCAATGGAGACTCTAAAACAAACAACAATTAAAAACACAAGAATTCATATTTTTATATTTAACGTGCCAATATCAAGTTATAAAATTTATAACACATAAAAAAATATATTATACCACAATAAAACAAATATATCAAAAATTGAATTAGTACATTATTATAGCCAGATAAGTCAAGTGTCTTCTTTATAAAGTTTGTTCGTTGTAAACAGGTGTAAATATAGTTGTATCAGTATACGGCGTACTAAGCGACGTGTAACAATTATCAAACAAAAATGGCAAAATCACACTATAATATGTAACATAAATAAAGTATATCAATGTAACTTACCATATTCATCCCTGTTTTGCATTATATCACTGATTCCTGAGATATTGCTAATTGTATCATTAGTATTATTCACCTTATTATTGAGAAAATTAAAAAAATTTCGCGCCCTCGCCGTCATTTGTCGTATACTGAGCCATAATAAACTTGTATCAATGCGTCCCTCCTCACGCCCCGAGAACACTGATACAATGTTATTTGGATCAGTATACAATGTACGATTTTAACTGATGTTGAAATTGATTTAGTATACGTGAAATTATCTCGGTAATTATAGGTCTTTTTAAAAAAAAAATAACACTAACATTAAGATCATGGTTTATTATGTACTTTTGTATAAAAAAAACAAAATACCTAAATTTGTTAGATGACTCAGTATACTTAGGAGGTATCGATGTGAATCGGGTGTAACATACGTAAACATACGGTGTGCACATCTGATTGAAATCGGTTAAGTAGTTTAGGAGTCAATAGCGGACAAACCACATGACTCGTAATTTATATATGTTAAGATTTAGTACATAAAATATTCCATTGTTTATCTCGTATGCGTAGAACTAGTTGTTATGACGTTACATGATCTTATACACTATTCATTGTTATTAAACAATGTCATTGTTTAACGGTGTTAATACGAATTTGCATTGTTCTGATTTGGCGGTGTCTAGTTCTTCTATAACTTTTATTTTATACGTTGTTGTTTCTTTTGGCGCGTTAGGAAAAAATGATGAGGGTAAACATTTACGATGCGTGCGCGCACCGTCACAAAAAACCGACACCCTGATTTTAGTTATTCAAACTTTTTTCTATTGTTAGTGTTAGTGTCGTTTTTTCTACAAACGTAGAATAATTTTTTTGAAAATATTTTTATCTTGTTACGTCAAGGAAGTATAACGGGTTGGTTTGAAATCGGTCGCACGAATTTGATGATACTGATTATGCAGGAGCCTCGGGGGATCTTGATTGGAACACCTCCAAGTGATTTGCTGCCGGAAATGCGTCTAAGTATTTAAAAAAAAAATGAAATTATCCAGAAAAGTACCCAAAACCGAATCAGAGCACCCCACTATCCACGTGGTCTTGTCTGCCCTACCCCTAGAGTGTATATAAAAATCGGAGGCGCGGAGGAAGAGCAGCTCCCACCCGCCGAAACAAAGCACAGGCATTATGCAAGCCTTAGGTTTTGATATGGAACATGATAGCCTCGATTTGTTTAAGCTGTTGCGTCGTAGTTAGGGAGTATTAAGATTATCTATAATTATCCTGCATCACGAGCACACCCCACCAAATGTGTGAATGTGTATGTTATGTATTTGTATATACATAATAAAAGTTGCAGGAGTAGGAAATAAATATGGATGTAAGCAACAAAAAAATCTAGAACATTCATTTATAATTGGTTTTTATAAAAAATATACGCTTATATAATATTTTGACTGACAAAAACTTAAAAAAACTAAAAGTAACTAAAAAAAAAACTTTCGTAATATTGCCATTTTTGCCATTTCCTTTTTTTTAAATTTAATATCATACTTTCTATGATTAGGTTTCAACTGTTGTCTGTTTATTTTACAACAATTGTTACGCTCAACGAAACTTAACCTTTAAAATTGTCTAGTGGTATTTGAATTTGACCTAAGGGACCAACGATGAATTCGTCAGTTGCTAGCGTTTAATTAACACAGATAAACATTAATTGATGAGCATACACGAATCATAAAGATAACGATTTAGATTCCATGGACACCAAACTCTGTTTAATATCTGCAAGTTTTTTATAAATATAGGTGGAAAGCAATTTGTATTGTGATAGGTCAGTTAAAATAATCGTCGAATCGTCGTCGGGAATGGCAAAAAAACTCAACAAAATTGAACGGTTTCCGGGTCAACGAGATGCTTTAAATATTATTGATGTTTTCACTCAATATTAATCAGTCACGTACAACATAATAATACTAATTAATTAAATGCTATGCTTATAAAATTCTGAAAATAATTTAGGTAAACGTGGCGATTAAAAAAAATATTAAACAAACCTTACTGAGCAAAATGTTCAGCCTTGGTTTGTACATCTACTTATCTGTTTAATATTACACGTAAACAGCCGCCATAGGTTTCACTAAATATTTCGAGATATTTTTTTGTAGTAATTACTGTTGCATTAAAAAAGGTAATAAGTTTTACAATCAAAAGTACTTTGTTTTCTTATCACGCAAACTTTCTACCACAATAAACAAATTGATTGTATACTTTACGAGTTACGAGTGACTGTTATGGTTATGTGTATACGAGTTGTTTACAAATTGTAGGTATTTTAAATACCACTAAACTCCAGGACTAAAAGTTTTCTAATAAAACTTACGTAGAATGCTCCCCACAGCCGTTGCATTCCGATTTCCTTCTAGAACATTTCTCTGGGGACTTATCCTTCTTAACGTCACCATTCAGCACCGACTTTCCTTCGATGATCCGTTTAAACAACATAATAACAGCAAAAGGATTTGTTGTTTACGGCAAAAATCACGACGAATGTTTGAATTGTTGAGAATCGCGGCTGAAACTTGGTCCAGGGAACGATGTTCCATTAGATTGGCAGAGGAGCCAAGTTCACCTCTACTGCCAAACTTGCATGCACTACTGAAGTCTAAAACACCGTTGATGTTTTCCCGTCCGCGATTCGCGCCCCAATAGAATGCTCTAGACCCCCCGCCCCGCGCCGCTAGCCACAGGCTACGTGAATGTAATGGTAAACAGCTACACCACAAAAGTATTTTGTACTATATCTTAGAATTTATTTAGTTTTTCAATATGCAATAGTACATGTAAAATTTTAAATAAAATATAATTTAAAGAGTTACAAGTCAATTAACAGGTAAAAATCTTCAATCCACTCAATGAGAACTGAGTCGATTGTTTAATTTTACTACTCTATAACAGTGTTATGACTAAGAGCCTGTATTATTGAGCAAATGAAAGAAAAACAAAAAACAGCTGGTCTGAATTAAAAAAATAAATTAAACTAAATTATGTATATCAATTCCAAGGAAAAGATTAACAAGTTAGATTTTATTAGTAATACGTTTTGTGGGTACTTGCAATATACACATACCTAATTCGTCGTATCCAAAATCAAATCTTAAACGTTCAAAGTAAATTAATCTAAATATCTTGGAAGATATTCCGTGGAGGTTAACTCATTAGAAAAAAAACTAACAACTGTTTTTACTTAATAATATGAATATATATTATATAAAAGTTCAGTATTATGATCCGGTAATAAAGACTCACAAGCACGTGGAGTGCGCATGCTCAGTGCGTGTTTGCCGGTCCCCGCTCCCCTCAATACCCCGCAGTATGAATGTGGCCTTTACGAGTAACACTAAACACGCACCAACCGCCTGATCACGGCAATTATAAAGCTGACTTTACACTGTTCAATCTTCGTGACACAAAGACTCCCGCGTGTTTTTTCAGTTCAGTTTCAATTTCATATAGACCAAAAACACATTTTTGCATCTTATCATCGTTTTTTTAGACAAGGCCAAATATCAGCCAGAGGCCTACACATGTCCAAGATTATTGTATCTTGACGTGAAATCATCACGATATTTTCCTTAATGGTATGCAAGTATTCATTTTGAACATACTTATAATGTAAAATCCATTGCTGCACAACCGGAAATGAAACGAACCTAAGCTTTTAATTTTTTTCTTAAAAGAAGTAGTACCCGGCAATCAAATCTTCAAGTGAAATTAGCTAGTAAGTTTTTAAATAAAATTGCCTAATAATTCAAGTTAATTAATGTAGGCCATACACACTACGGTCTACCGGAGAGGTAATCTGTGCAGGTATGCCTGCGCAGGTTAACTCTGAAAGAATCGATTTTAGATCTTGCGCCGGTCGCCTGTGCAGGTTCAAAAACCTGCACAGGTCTATTCCCACACACATTCCGGCAGGCATACCTGCACAGGTGGACCTCTTCGGTAGACCGTAGTGTGTATGGCCTGTGTAAGTATTAAAAATCAACGCTATCAGTTTTTGTTAACACGCAACGTTTTAGAGTTAGACATTATATTTATTGGTCTAAAACGTTCATTGTCTGTGATTAACGTCCGCTTCAATGTTATTTTTTTTATTTGTTTCATAATTTTTTTTGGATTTTCTTCTTGCTATACTTCTCTGGAAATAATGTCTGTAACCCTTTATAATTAAAAGATAGATACTGCAGATCGAAAGATACACCACCTGCGGACAATAATTTTATATATAAATATACCCAGGCCTCCACCACCATATTCATAGATTTTCATTACCTGAAGATAGGGACATTTGGACAGGTTTATATTCTGAAAAGCAGCAACAGAAGAAAGATAGACTACCACACGCGCTCGCGGTTGAGAATCCCCATCTAGGCGTCCTTAGCACCCGACGGGCTACCGTTCTTATTCTGGGGGGGTAACTTAGCGCTATACAACTTTAAAAATTATTCCGTTACAAATCGATCTCGGGACAGATTTATTCATTTATTTATTTACAATCCATACATGGCCAAATTTCAACAAAAACTATTATATATATAATTGACGCTGGACAGTGCGAGTCAGCAAAAAGGTTATATTCCCGGCGAAGGTGGTAATTGCCTGGAACTACAGTCTTATAATCTCTCCCAGCACTTGCTGATACGAAACGGAAACCGCATGTAACGTTTTATGCGCTGAGCAGCGGCGGCCTTAGGGGGTGGCGAACAGGTCAATCGCCTGGGGTCTCGCTCTTGTAGGGGCCACGCAAACCAACCCAAGCAAATTAAATAATAAATATCGATATATAAATAAATAAAAAATATCGATTTTTAAACAATTTTTATTTAATTAAAAACTATTAAATTTGATCCTTCATTACTTATTAAGGTTATAACATAATCGTAAATTAAAATAAAGTTAGTTAACTATTTCATTCACTCAAAACATAATTGAATTAAATTAAAATTCATTATGTAGGTATTAACATGACGAACATCTATACCAAACAACCAGACCTACTTTCGCATCATACACAATTCACAAAGCCCAAAGGCTCTTCCACAGTTGCTGATGTTAGAGGGCTCCAATCTCAGCTCAGTCCACTACCATTGGGACACTGCGAAGCCGGCCTAGCTCTTTCTTACCGAGACTCAGATATTTTCCCCGGCTAAAACTTCCCACCTCTCCTACCTAGAGCACAAATTGGAGCATTCCTTTGGGGCGCGAGCAGGAGTTTGGGTGTACGTCGGGGAAGGTGTGTGTTCTTATCGCCGTGTTCCACCAGGCACGTGTAGAATCGCAGATGGTCATCGCAGTTTACGCGCAGTCAGAAGTTAGTTAGGTCCGTTCCTTCATTTTAAATGTAAAAATATAGGCATAATACATAGATCGATTTCTGTCTAAGGATAAGGGCAGTTTTTCAGATTCATAGGGTTTGAAAAGCAGTACTTATCAACTAATGTCATTTAACAAACAGTCCAAAATAGACTTAACTATTCACTTTCAATGTTATGGAAGTCCCAATATGAAAGAAGTGATAGAATTCCTATTTTATGTAGACGATACGGTATGGTACATTGACTTTGTTATGTTATGTTACAGTGTTAAAAAATACTATTTTTTTTAACCTAAATATCAAATACGTGCGTGTTTCAATTGTGGAAAACACACAGTGAAATCTATATAATAAGTATGTATTATTGGAAATTCTTTAACCACCATTTATTTTTAGATTTAATTATCTATGGATTGGCGCGCAACTCGAAATACAAATAAATTTTAGCCGTGTTAATTTAATTTCAAATTCAGTCACTTGTTTTTTGGTAGCCTTTTGGTTTTTTTTTGTGAAATTTTGATCGCGGCGCCAAGGAAAATCTGAAAATTCATAAAGTTCTCAAACACGTGGCATAGGTGACAATACCGTTGCGCAAACACGAAACATTAACGACGCGTCCCGTACACATCCGTACATTATTGAATCGTTTTAAAAATGGAAATTTTGAGTTGAAGAACTAACCTAGTAGTCGGCCCGTAACCATTGTCGACAACGACGAATTGAAGGCGATAGTGAAAGCGGATCCAACTCAATCTAGGGCTGAGCTTGCTTCCCGTTACCTAATGGAGTTTTAAAACAACATTCAAGCACTGCGTCAAATCGAAAAGATATTAAAAGCTTACGCATCGAGCATGTATAGCACTATTGTTACCTGCGATGAAAAGTGGATCCTGAACGACAACCGTAACCTAAACAGTGCGCTTAAAAACCTTACTTATAGGAAGATGATGGGGACTGTCTGGTGAGCCACTTGCGAATTTGTACATTACAGCTTCGTACCGAATGGCACAACAATGACGGCAGGTGTCTATTGCTAAGAATTGCTAACAATGATTGAGAAGCTTGCAAGTCAACAACCAAGACTGGCCAATCGCTCTTCCTCATTGCTACTCCATGACAACTCCCGAGCTCTCACTTCATGACAAACCATCGCAAAGCTATAAGATTAACAGCTGAAAGCTCTCCGTCACGTACCGTCACCGGATCATGCCCCAATCGGTTACTACTTTTTCAGAATTTAGAAAAAAAAATAAACTGGATAATAAATTAAGCACCCGACTTCATCGCCTCTCGTCCGGCAGACTTCTACAGTAAAGAAATAAATAAACAGCTATCAAATCAATATGGCAAAATTGTATATAATAATATGTTTTGTGTATTGGTTGATTGGGCCAGTACTTTTATTAACTGAAATAGGAAAAATTGCCAAAATATTCTAATATTTTAAAACGTTCATACAAATCTCATATAGGATATTTCAAAGCGGATTCAAAAATGGGATTATTGTTTTTTTCATTTTATCAAACGATAATAATATAGACTCACAATATTTACAACTCCTAATACAGTAATTTATGGACCAAGCCTGTCACTCACATTAGACATATGTCAAATTATCATTTGGCAATTGGGGATTGTCAAACGTGTTGTTTTCTTTCGAAATTACAGTAAACCATTATAGTATTGTTTTATATATAAATCATAGTTTATTTAATAATATATAAATCATAATTTGTTTAATGTTTTGTGCAAAGTATACAAGAACATTTTGTATGTTCATAATGTCTAACTAAAATTGTGCTTGAAACTTAGAATTTACAAGAACCAAGAAGATGGCTTCACATTTAAGCACCCGAGATCGTTTACTGTCGCAGATTGATGATATTGAGCTAATTGCCAAGTAAAGATTACGAATTTTGTTCTATACAGATAGCTTCGTAAATCAAGAGCATTTCATTTTGATATTCTTTGTAAAATTACCTGAAAAACTTAATTACTTTCATAGAATTACTGATAATACGTTATAATTTACATTTTGTCCACTATCGAATATCTTTAGTCTATAATTTGCATTTCATAAAGATAACTAAATACTATTTCTATTTTGCAGGGAAATAATTGAGGTAGCTATAGCCCCTAAATCACAGAAGTTATCAGCAGCGGATCATGCACAGTTAACTGAATTACTACTGTCTAAAGATGCAGAACTAAAGAAAACTTTAGATTTGGCAGATGAACAAGCAAAAATACAAGAAAAAATGAATGAGCTTAAAGCTGAGGTTTACAACAAGGTTAATAAAGATTTAACTATTTATAACAAATTAACTACTGAACAATTGCTATTCTTGTTTATAAAAATTTAAATATTGTAAACAAGTAAGTGTACTGGTATGATTAAAAATTTAACAAAGCTACATAGTACATAGAGACTAATCAAATCATCATAATTAAGAAGTTTGTTGCACTAAAGAGTATTTAAATGTGCTTTAATATGAGACCTAGTCATACAATTTCTATGTGTGTGTTTAATATAGGCTATGTGGAGAAAAAGGAGTTGTTGAATATTATGGTATATATATATATAAGATTATGAAATTGTCATTATTAAATATTTTTTTAGGATCAAGATATTTCACTTCTTCAGCGGCAACTGAAAGATGCTGAGCAAATATTGGCAACATCATTATATCAGGCTAGACAAAAGTTAGCGTCAATAGTTAAGTCTAGGAAAAGACCCGTACCTTCTGAGGAATTAATTAAGTTTGCGCACAGGTAAGAATTCTTTACATATTATATTTGATCTTAAATACTGTAGCAAAGTGAGGTATAGTATCCATCTAGTATGGAATAAAGAAAAATCTTTTATATCGCTTAACTGATTATTTTTGTGTTGGGGAAATAGATCTATGTAGTCAAAATCAATGTTTTTTGCTAAAACTGATTTCAGTATCAATGTATTAATTACTTTACAGTTAAATTGGTAAATAGTAAAAATTTAATGATATTACATACCCAATTGTAGGATAAGTGCATCAAATGCGGTCAGTGCTCCATTAACATGGCAGCCTGGTGATCCAAGAAGACCGTACCCCACAGATCTTGAAATGAGACTTGGAATGTTGGGCCGACTCTGTGATTTACCTCTAAATGGACATGCACCGTCCACACTTAATGACCTACACAGAATCACTACTGGAGGAGGTGGGCCTAATCACTTATTTGTCAAAAGTTATCAGTAACATTAATATGTTTACTTAATAGTTATATTTAGTTATTGTTTACTAGTGGCGAAGTCACTCAACCAAAATACTTTCTATTTCAAAAAATATACCTTTTTCATTGCATATTTATGACATAAAGACTGTGTAGTTATAATAGTATCAGTAATCAGAGAGTAAGATTCATAATCAAGACTTAGCGGTAAATATTAGTCCTGTATGACAAAATGCATTGGATTTAACATGAGATGACTCCAGTAGTAGTAGCGCTAGGAATTATTAGTCTTGGTCTTACCAGTGTTTAACCCCAAGTTTGAGTCTTGCAACAGCACTGGTTTTGCATTGGTAGTTTTTATGAAGCAAACAGAACTAGAAATGTGATTGGCCTTAATACATTGAAGGGTTATTACGTCAAACACATTAAATTTTAAAAAATGTAAAGAGTGGTGAATGTTTCAATTTTAAAAGTGTAGTATGAACTTAGGAAGGACGTAGGCCCAACACATTCTTGCATTATTAGTTGATATTTTTATAGTAACTGAGGATTACCTTATAAATGATGTTAAGTTTTCATTGGGATCAAACCCAAGGCTAATAGATTCAATGTAGGTAGTTGTTAAAACATAATAAACTCTTATTTATTACACTATTTACGTAATATGGCATTTCGAATGTTTAACAGTAGTTGTGGTGATAGACTTTGAAATAACGCAAGACTTTTATAAATAATATTGCGTTTATATCTGTTTTTTTTTTACATATAAAGATAATTGCATGTCTTCATGGTAGATTATGTAATTGTATATATTATATTGAACTTTATTTCAGTACCCGCTTCAGCGACAAATCAATTCACCTGGCACCCATCGGGGGAACTCCATATGTCAGTGGGTGGTGGGAACTCTGTGGCCATCGATGGTCGCGGTAAAGATGCGCCGGCGCAGGAAGATGTCGAAGTTATGTCAACAGACTCTAGCTCTAGTTCTAGCAGTGATTCTCAATAGAATTAATTCGTTTTTAAGTGCTGAAATTTTAACTGCTGTGTATAGTGTAATAGTGCAGATGTATGATTGGATGTATGTAATGTCGTTATATAGTTGTTGAGTCTTAATAAACTTTTTCTTATTCATATGGCTTTTTATTTCGACAAATGGTGTCTGAAACCTTGGCTTTTTTTTAATTATGTACAAAAATAATAATAACAATTACAATTTTTATCATTAGGTCATAAAAACCTGAAAGATTAAAATGTATGTACAACTACTAATACTAATAGTATAATACCTTATATATTGAAACAAAATGGTTACTTGGAAATTACACAATCAGCGTAAACATTTGAACTTTTTTACACGCGTTGGCATTTTGGTAGTCATGGAAACATGTAACTATGGTTACTAAAATTGTTTATAAACATTCCAAAAGTAATATACTACGGAAATATTAATTAAGAAAAATGGGTGAAAGGGCACCAGTTTCTGCTGAGGATACATTAGTGCGTTATGATAATCCAGTGCTGGTCACAAAACAGCCAGAGAAGCCTGTAAGTAATATATATGTTATATATATAAGTAAATATTAAATTATATATATTCCCAAATACTGCTTGTGACCTAATACTCAACGGCTGAAACTTTTTGATCATATAATTTTAATAAATCCAAATCTATATCTTGGAATTTACTTGACACATTCCTATTATTTATGTTACACTCGTAGGACAGTAGAGATGTCCTCATCTCGTTTAGAGAAAAGTGTCCAAGTCTACTTAATAAAAACAGTAGAAAAGTAATTTCAATAAACCGTAATAATGTGTTTTCTAGTCGGAACCTAGTATCAGTACAGCTGCACAGCCATGTGTTCCGACCGAAGCTAAACGAGAGACTGAAGAAATTCTTAATGCTATCCTTCCACCCAAAGAATGGGAAGAAGATGGTCAGATATGGACTCAAAAGGTATCAAGATTTATATACTGTATTTCTCACAGACGAAGTATAGGACAATGTATGTCCTAATATAGAAATTCATCAACATAAGTTCAGTTGTATAAGAGTAAAAGTATGACGTATGAGCCCGGTAAAATGAAATTTTCTCGTATAATCCATTTATTTTACACACAGATTTGAATAGGTTTTTTCAAGTATTTTATATGTATTGTTTTTAAGCAGCTATAGTTTTTTATAGATATCTTCGACTCCAGCCACAAGGCTCGACGTGATCAACTTACAAGAAATTCTAGATACGCGCCTTCAGCAAAGACAAGCGAGAGAAACTGGTATATGTCCGGTGCGCAGGCAGCTCTATACACAATGTTTTGATGAGCTAATTCGACAGGTAAGCTCGCGTTTAAAAATTAAAAGCTTTCTCAGGTATCAACAGGCTTTTGTCTTCTTGAATAGTAGCACCATATTTTATCTTGCCCATTTCGTTTGCTTCAGAGCAAACCTCATGAAATTTTTCAAATTTCCAGTTGATACTAATAAGTACTAATTAAGGAAAGTTAAAAATGAATAATATTAAATCTTTTTTTTTTAATTTTTCGTCTAATTAAGCCAAAATGATATAATAAAATGGGAACGTGACCCTGACTGAGAAGGTCTACTTGTAAGTAAAGTAACTGTGATAGATTGTGCTGTTAAAATGATTCAAATTTTTTAAACCGAGTTGAGAAAGAGTAATTTATGCACTTTCACGCTATAAAAATGTTTGAGTGTGTAATTTAAATAATATTATTGTTTAAGGTAACAATAAATTGTGGTGAAAGGGGGCTTCTTCTATTACGTGTTCGTGATGAAGCAAGAATAACAATGGAAGCTTATCAAACACTATACTGTAGTTCTATTGCTTTTGGAATGAGAAAAGCTTTACAGGTTTGTACATTTTTGGTGACTCCTTTTGTGAATTTATTTTGCATTTTTATTATTGTGCATAAAGCCTTGCCAAGGAGATGTGAACATAAGGCTATTGACATAAACTAGATTGTAGAGCTGCTTAGTAAATTTAAGCGAATAAAATAAATAAAACTTTTATATTATAATGTAAGCTCCGCCTAAATCATTATTCATTACCTTCTTACCAATCAATTAAGGACAGACTGCTACAGATATGAAACACACATGCACACAAACACACCTAGACAGATATGAAAATAGCCTACTATTTTCCAATACAATGTATTTCAAAATCGATAATAGTGTTGACGGATTTCAAACATACTATTGTAACTTTGTCGGTAGTAAAAAAAATTTTCTTTCAACTAGTCAGAACAAGGTAAATCCGACCTCATGGATCAAGTAGCAAAGCTAGAAACAGAACGTTCAGCTCTCGAAAAGCTATGCACAGAGTTGAAACAGAAGACAGAACAATTGGAGAGGAGAGCTGCAGAACTACGAGCGGCAGAAGAGAAGCGTCACCAAGAAGAATTGCTGGCGCTGAAGAAAACTAATGCGCAGTTGAAGGTACTATATACAATAAATTTGTAAATTACAATAAGATCAAGCAACCCAGTAGTTACCCACTATAATGACAGATTAATGGTATATACCGCGAGTAAATAGGGCAGTTTCAGTTTTTATCATTTTACATGGTAATACATATCTAGAAAGTAATTAAACAATGTTATTTTGAAAAATAATATACTTACCGTTTACAGGTTTGGTTTTCGAAAGCGGTCTCATATATAAGATACTAGTTATGGCTTCATCATAATAGGCTATATTTTTAATTTTAACAAGATTTGTAGAGATAAAACTGATGATGACGTTATTAGTTTATGCTTTATGTGTCACTATGACATCTATATTTAACTTAAATATTTTTACTATAGTATGGTGGAAAAGCACCATTTAAAATTCTTTACTTATGAAAAACCACAGGCTCGGTCGTCTGAGCTTGTATTTGTTTCGTGGTCATTTGTTTTCCTTTACCGTTAAAGGCGCACATGGACAGAAAAGTCCATTGGTGCACAGCTGAGGTACAAAAGCTAGCTACAGAAAATAAAAACTAATTTTCATTTTCCAGGCGCAATTGGAAGGCATCATAGCACCAAAGAAGTAAAATATGCCGGACGGTATTAAGATTTGCCGGGCTTTAATTATGTTTCTCTTATATATACTAAATAAATATATACACATAACATTGGTTTTGTATAAATAAAATCACGCAATAATTTTATTAAAATATATATTAAACCATTTATAGGACAAACGTACAATAATTCATTAGTTTATATCCACAAGTAGCTAAAGAGCTTAAAAAGTTACAAAGGGCACACAATTACCATTCGCACAATACAATTCATTCATAGCGAATACCTATTTAATAATTTTCAAAAACAGTTAAAAACGGAAATATACAATTTGATAAGTCAATAGACAATTATACAACATGGTAAAAAGGTCATACAGATACAAATGCAATAATTGAAATATTAACAATTAAAATTGGAATCTATTATAATTTATTACAACAAGTGACATTGTTAAAATCGCTATTATACAATAATAATTAAGGCACCACACAACTATTACAATAAAATAATTGAATTAAATTAATACACCGAACACAAATACTGCACGATTGATGACAATACAAAAATACGTAAAGCTAAAATTTAATCTAAAATCAAACGAAGACTGTGATGCCAATAATATTAGAATTAATTACAATGTGTTACAGGTGTTATGTACACCTAATCTCAAAACATACAATTTAAGTCACAATTACCACTGCATCAACATTCAGTCGATCAATAAATGACGGAATGAAAATATTTTAATACGTAAAGTACTCAAAGTAGAATATCAAAATAAAACTCCGTTGCAAAATATTAATAAAAAAAATAAAACAAAATTGTGATCGTAAAATGCATACAAAAAATCGTTAGTGGATTTCTTCTGCCTCAATTAATCGGTGGAATTTCTATTTTATTATCACAGTTAATACAGAAGATGGTGAGAAATTTCGTTGTTCCGAAGAAATCTACGAACGACCATCGACGGAATCGTGTCGTGAACTGTTGATTGTCATGGCGACTCCCACGCACCTAGCGAGAACGCACGCGAACTAATAATATTTTTACGTGATTCCTTTTGGGATATTTTGCGGAATAAAGCAAAATTGGAAAAGAAAAATAAAAATACAATAGTAGTCTATTGATGTTCGGAGTAGGTTGTGAGCCTCTGTGCCGGTCCCACGGGTATGGCGGTGACGCGGCCTGCACCGCCGTCGAGCAAGGGGTTTACAACCTGCACTATGTCAGGTTGGAGGGAGTTGTCTCCTTCCGTTTCCCCTTCCCCGAGACCTATTACCGTACCCTCTAGATCTGTGGGTGCCGTCTCACTACTTGGACTCGTCGTCAATTCCAATGATATAATTTTCTCTTGTGTTGTCTCCACCTGTGAAAATTGTGAGTTATGGAATCGAGATCCATTACTAGCAACATAAAACGAACTATATGAGAATTCGACAATGATAATGTCCCGTTAGTGGATACTAAAATTAGTAAGCGTTGATAAGGTAAAGCAGTTGAATACTGATGGTATCAATGTGATGATCTCGTAAATATATAAACGCAACGCACCATTACTCCTGCTGTAGGCCCGCTCTAGAACCCAGGTATTGTCTGACAAATACACAACAAATGTTAACATGCCATGCTACCAATCATGCAATTAAAAACTTACGAACTACACATCGAAAGTTACTTGAAACTATTTACAAAATCTGCCACCGCATCTTGTGAACGCCTAAGTGCTATCTACTCAAACTGGTGTCGCTAAGTGCCTAATTGCGTGTAGGCCCATCTTGTTATAAATAAAAACTCGTCGAAAGCTAAGCGTATTCCACAGATCGGCTGTGTACAGCGTCGTATATATAGCATTTACAATCGCAGTACCTCTTTCTCAATGACTTTCTCAATGTACTCGACGGTTCGGACCTTAGTATCGCCGGTCGTGGGACAAACGTATTCTTCGGTGCGGAGCGTTATTCTCTCGTCTAATAACTTTTCCTTCTCCTTGACGGCCAGTATCTGGCCCGGTTTTGTACGTAACGCGATACGTGGCAGGGGCCATTTCTATTTTAAAGCCAAAACACAAACCCCATTAGACGTACACAATGCGAAGCACCCACAGATGAGTTAAGACGGAAGTTAGGTGTCGACTAACTTGAAGCTGTACCTCGAATGGTGAAGTATGGAGGTCACGTGAACAGTATGATCGAAATGCAACACCGACTGGTTTGATGTTAATAACAGTTGGGTTAACGACATACATTGGATTAAACATTCTATTGTGAGTAGAAAGAACAAGACAACAAAAAAAAATTTTCTTTCTTTATTGCTTGCTTATTGATTACTTGTTCTTTCTACGTAAAATATTAGATTAGGACACATTCAGGTTATTTATAAAGGTAACATTTACCTCCGAAGGAGAGGTGTCCCTTGGAGGGACTTCTCCAATGATCTCATGCGCCGGGCCCACCATGCTTTTAATTGCTTTTTGTGACTCAATCGCATCCTAAAAATGTTAATCGTCAAAGCCATTTTAAAGCCGTTTCCCTTTTAACTGGATTCTATCACGGTTTAATAATTATAACAATAGAGATAATATAATAGAATAGAGTGGCTACTTTTATCATTTAAGCGAGAAAATCTTATCTCTTGAGATTATTGTCAAAAACATTAAAACAACTCAAACAACAGTCCCGTTGAAGGTTTACAAAAAACACGGCTTTACAGATTTTAAATATAAACTAAACTTCAAAATTCAACTAAACGTTTAAAAAGAATGAAAGTTAATCAAAATTAGCAATTAGTTTTACTGTGTTAAAAGCATAATCATACCTTTTCCAAAGAGCGTAGACGTGCAGCTCTCCAAGCCGCTCGTCGTGCGGCACGTACGTCCGCGTCTTCGTGTTCTGCGTTCTCACGCGCAGCCCTACGCCTTTGGGACTTTGCTGATGGACTCACGCCGCCCAGTGAAACGCTGTACACCCCAAATTGCAGAATCAATAGTAATGTAGTATTTTACCACAAGTAATAACAATTTTGCATGGTTTTTGAATGAATTCTACATATAGCCTTCGAACCGTAAACAATATTTTTTTGCTTCATTGTACTCTTACGACTTCCATGTGTTTTAATCTAACCTACAAAAACGTTGGACCTACCTGTGTCCATTTTCATAAGGCTCATCATCAGAATGTTCACTTTCTCCGCTACGCTCCTCCCCCGGGGACCAAGAACTCATCTCGGAACGTGACAACGACGCCATTTTCCTCTCCTCTTCTTGCTTTAATTTTTCTACCTCATCGGCCGACAGAAAGGTAAACACTTTCTCTGTAAAATTAGTAATAGGATATAAAAGTTATGGAGATATTGCTATACTCGCCTTACTGTATATAAGCGTTAATTGGCTTCTTAGCGGAAAAACCATTTCACAACAATGTATACATTGTTGTGAAATGGTTTTTGTAGTATGTTTAGCTTTAAAGGCTTCTAAAGGTATAAAGATACTTTATAATGTAGCTTTTGATCAGATATACTATGCACTAGCGATATTCCAAAACCTGCCGCAATGGCACACCGCACTTCAACCAGCCTAGTATAAGTAGTACTAGTATAAAAATGTAATTGAAATATTTAAATTAAGTCATGAAGTATTAAGAAATATTTACCCGGTTTTGGTGACGATTTATGGCTCTCTTCCATGGCGTTCTCAAAAAACTTTTTCTTATCGCTGACAGATGCTTTTACAAAATTACCAGATTGAGGTGGCGACGTCTGAAAGATTGATCGCACAATTCAATATCCTTGCAATTAAAAGTGTTATTCATGAAAATGTTGAAACAATGGAAAAAAGCACAATGACAATAATATACAGTGAAATCCCGTCACCAGGCAATCAAACACCCATGCAGTCAGAGATGAAAATGCTAAACAAAAAAGGGTAAGTATGTAAACAAACGAAACATGCAAAATATAATAAATGCAAGTTAAAATCCGTACAAAATGGTATATGGGGAACATTGATCAAATGTTTAGTCAAGTCAGGCTGGATTGACGACGAACACAATCAAAAGAAGCTGAGTGTTTGTGTGTGGTGGATAAGTTGCCGAACATCAATGTATTACCTCGCCGATGGCGAAGGATATGATTTTGCTGCTCCATGCGGGTTTCAAGGATGCGGGCGAAGGGCTTCCCTCTCGCATAGATTCCAAACTTTTCGGTATATCGGATTCAAGAGCACTCGTCACTTCGCCAAAATGAACTCTTCTCTCAGACTGGGCACTCTTGGGCCGACTACCCGCATCACGAACACTTTGGTTTAAGTTAACGTTTATGTCCTTCGCTACACAACTGACTAATGTAGGGGATAAAGATTTATGAGGAGGCGGCACGATACATGTGTATGGATTATATGTTCCAGCTACCGTAGTTAAGGATGGATATGGGTCGTAGGGTGGATATGTCGTGGAGTGCACCATAGAGGGTAAATTTTTAACACGCAAGTCTCGTAAAGATTGATTCTCATTCGAAATGGCCAGATCAGCGAAATAACTTCTAGTTGGATGTAAGTAACAAGGTGAATTAGGTACATGCGAAATAGTAGGAAGAGTTTTATATTGAGCGTGCAGTAATTCGGGCGGACCAGGTTGGCCACTGGGACTAACCGACAACTCACTATAATGTTCGTCACTTTCGAATGACGGTAGTTCATTACGGAAGACTTGTTGTGAAGGCACTTCAGAAAAAAGAGTTGAACGGAAATTGTTATCGATGATTTGCACGGGTGGATAAGCTGTATAGTTGATTGGCGGAGGGTTTTCTGTTTCTGGCGAATTTGTGGAATTAGAGGACTGCACGGTTGTTTCTGCCACAGTCGGTTGAGGAAGCACGATGCGCTCGGGGACAACAGCGATTAGCGGGACTACGTCGTTAACATCATCGTGAATTAATTTACTTTCACTTACTTTTGTTGCAAATAATGGCGGAGGGGGAATAATAAAATCTTCAGGACGAACAGTGTTGGTTATCGTTTTGACTTCGACCTTGGTCTGAGTTAGTAATGGGGTCTTTTCTGGGCATGCATCGTTAGTATCCGATTCTGTCGCGGAGCGTTCATGCAATTCATGCGTTACGGGTTGAGGGTTCGTTCGTTCGTTTGTCGACAAGGTTAGATCGTGTACGTCTTTTGAATCCGGAGTGAAACTAACTCGCTTGATTTGCGGTTTGCGGGGAACTTGTGGTTTCTGTTTGGGCGGTTGAGGCGGAGGGGGCGGGCGAAGCGGCGGATCCACGGAAGTACCGTTGTCCATCGGAGGAGGCGTCTTCACCTTTTGTTCCGTGAACACCGCGAGCGGCGAAAGCGGCGCCGCTTGCGAACTAGACGACTAACCAAAACCAACAATATACACTTTACTCGTTACTTAGCAATAATAGAAACTAGAGTGCAATATTGAAAATAGACGCTTTAGTAAAGTTGCCGGCAGCGAAGCAGCTTGCACGAAAACGCTTAATTATAAAAAAGGGGAAAACAAAGATTGATATAGCGATAACAAAATCTTCCAAAATAAATGATTTAAAGGCGGTAAAGTAAAGCTATTGCAAAGAGATAATAGAAAAAACAAACATTTCAGAAACATTGTGTATTTAAGTTCAACACTAAATATAATTATATAATTCCCGTTTCAATAATTTTGTATACAAAGTAAAATGTCTAATAGTCTAATTTTCCAGTCGCTTCCAATTAACACAATTGAAATGATTGGCAGTCAATATTTGGCAATACAATTGATGGAACACCAACGAACAACAATAACAATCTGAAGGCCAACAAAGTCTGATATGTCATTAATAAGTCCGATACAGCTCTTACAGCCAACAAAGGAATTAATTCATAAACTATTGAATTATTACAAATAACATCTAATATAATTAATGAATCAAATTTAACAACTACCGATACAAATGTAATTATGGGAAAACGTTTTAAATTGGCTTAAAATTAACACCTTTAGAGAGACTAAGTCAATACACAGAACTTGTATAATCTGGGAAATATTAGTATAATATAAGGCTTGATAAAATTGGATGTAACTAGCGCCAGTGTATCTTGGTTTCATATATGTATGTATTTCATTTTGACGTTCAAAACCAAGATACATCTCTACGGGATTTATTTAAATTGGATTATTTTGTGGAACTACAAAACAGCATCGAAAACGTTACAGAGTACATCGAGCTACGAGATTATCGAGGTATATTGACTACTTGGTCATTTAAATGTATATTATCTTATTTCATACACAGTCATTATTGGTGTTTACAGTAAAAGCTATATGTAAAAATACAGTACTAAAGAATAAAAGTTCAGAAAAGCGATTACAATTCAGAATGCTTTTATATAGACATCACGAAAATATAACGTATTTGGAAGAAAATTTATTGTAAATCCTTCGAAGATTAATTTGTAAACACTTAAACCTCCACCGTTCTGAAAAATACATATATCTAACCTACTACGAAATAGTAACAACTTATAATATCAAGACATTTCCTTTCTATTCGAGATATTTCGATACGTTATCGCCTCAGTGGAATGCGATTTATCTATCAGAACTTAATCTACGAGTATAAAAATCTCAATCGTAATATTTACAAAATTCTGGACTGATTATATTGCTTACTAAGTGTTTCGCTCCTGTCCTTGAAGGTACGCAGTCTGCAATGGACGTAATAACATCAGTAAACATTACATCTACTTCACGAATTACGACATCAATGTATTCGGGTAATCCTCGAGACAAGAGTTATCGGACATGCATAATACAAAATATAGGACAATACATCAGAACCCAAGTACCACTACGTTCAAACATTTATTTTGGAAGATAGTAAACAGTTTGTAATAGAGGATATTTTCATGCAAGCCATAGTTTGAGGTGCATGCCTTCCTTTATTCCACCGTGCATCAGAGTTTAATACAAATTCGAAAACATTCATGCTATCAAGAATCGTATTACGTAAAATATGTAGTACCTGTGTTGAAAGTCACTATTATAATAGCTACAGACTTATTAGATACGCATGCATTTTCAAATCTAGAATAATAAAGATTCAATATTTTGCTAATCCTAAAACTAATAGCCTCAAAGATGTCTATAACAAAATACCAGAAACATAAAATTAATCAGTAAAATCTTATGTATACTGGTTTGATCCATAAAATATTGGTATTTCACTTTGTAAGACAGTACAATTACGAAGACGTAGTTTAGTACGCGTATACGTGCGTATATATAAATTTACTCATACTACATACGTCTTTAAAAGTAATGTGTTATAAAAATACATAAAATACGTTCATTTTTAAAGCAAATTGTATTATATAGTAAATATATATTTGCGTATATATTGTATGAATGTGCACGTATACGCGTACACTTATAACGTATCTAATGATCTATAATCAACGGATCATACGTCGGTGTGCGGGAAGAAATGTAGACTGACCTGAGGCTGCAGCGTGTGTTTGGACATTACGACTGTAGTTGTTTTATGGTGAGGTTCTGGAGAAATGGGCGGACCCGGGTCCAGTGCGATACTTTCCACTGCGTGCACTATGTCCATTACCTGAATTTATGGAAATTAAACCGTTAAAATCTGTGAGATATAAGAATTGATGTTTTAAAATGGTAATTCGGGGTTTGAAGACAAAGAATAAAAGATTTTAGACACCTATTTGAATGAAAAGAAATGTGTCTGGCCCATGCCTTAGTGAGGAGTTTATAAGTTATAGTTTTGTTAAAAAATTAATAAAGTACGTTATTGTATAGCACAGTTCGATTATGCTAAAAGCTTGACATTACCTTTTCTGGTGTAGACTTTTCTCTCATCTCAGCTACTTGCTTTTCTTGTTCAAACTGTACAACATCTTGATGCACATTGTTGTCCTGGGAAATTAACAGATTTACAATAAATACTTTCGTCTTTTATGACTATTCTTATATATAACTTTCATTAATTTTTCTATAATACATCTAAGCATATAATGCAATAAGATAACGGACACAAATCGATTTCAATTTTTAACAGGCATAAGTGCATAAGTCAATATAATACTGTGAATAAGATAGATTTATATTTTTTTACTATACATGTCGGAGTAATGGCGCTGGTATCAGCTGCCATTTTCATTATTTAATAACTTCAAAGTCAAATCAGTTAAGATCTGCCAATTAACAGACTATTTGATAGTCTGTAGTAATTTAATAGCATTTTGAATCAATGGTGTTAGTGTCATTATTGTCATATTAAACGACTATTCAATGGTCGATAGTAATAATGACTCCATAGAGTCCATGTCTCATGTATGGACACCAAATAATACTACCTAAGTATTATAACTTATAAACTTAGATCATACGGCGAAGAAAAATGATGATGTTACTAATACAAAATTATCGATAAAAGATTAAGACAACAGATACCTTAGGTCAAATGTATTTTTTTAGAATACAGTTATCAGTTAATTTAATATGATAAAACTACCTGTTGTTGATGAAGGGTGTCGTCCCGATCAAGGCTGGACGTAGAGTGAGACAGCGAACCTCCCGTCTCTGCTGTCCCGCTCTCGCTACCGGTCTGTATTAACATGCACTACTAAGTAAAATCACAAAATTTGCGACCTATATGCAAAAGTGCTATCTGGAGTGCATATGAAAAAACAATCACACTGTATTCCTTTGATGGTTGGATTAGATTTTTAGATGTGTGTGTGAATACGTGTATTTTCACAAGATGGAGAGTAGAGATAGAGTATATTTAGTGCACGTTATAACCCAAAAAAAAAATATTGTTCTTTTGTGCTAAAAATCTATATATAACCTACAAATAAAGATTCTATTTTACAAATTTAGGCAATAGTGACATAAAATTCTATATAAAATTGCAGTTGCTTTATCACCTTAAAGAGAAAAATAGACTTACGGTATATTTCTCAGGTCGTGAGTAGCCGTGGCACACTACGAGGTGTAAAGGAGCGTTTGTAGCGGAGCGTAGAGCGTTCACGGCTTCATTGTGAGTCGCACCCAAAAGCGAGATGCCGTTCACTTCCAACAAACGCATGCCCACCTTAAAAAATAAAAAAGTTAATAAATTGAAGCTAAAATAAAAAAAAAGTGCTCACAAACCAAACCACTTTTGATTTTTTTTCAAGTATCTTCAAAAATTGCGTGACGTAATACAACGCTCCCTAATAGCGACTATACATACCTTTAGTCTACCGTCTCTCCTGGCCGCTCCACCGCTATTTATCTTAGATATGAATACTCCTTCATCGTTAGGGTCGTTGGGGTTTCCTCGTTGACCATTTAGACCACCCTTTATATGCATACCCAGTTTTTCGCCTTCTTGCTTTACTATTGTTAGGTCCTGTTAAACAAATAATCTTTCAGTCGGCTGTACAGACTCCATAAAATGTTATTGTGTCGATCGATGCAATGACATTATATATATATATATATAGTTTTTACTATAGACATTTTTAAATCCCCAGTTAATAGGCTTGTAAAGAAATTGACTGGCTTAAATTCTAATATTTTGTTAATTATAAAGTATACATAACGCAAATATATAAAATTCAAAAAGACTTTCCATTTACGACTTTAATGCTCTAATAATTTTGCTAAGATATAGTCGACGCATTATGAACAGAGGCTTCGGGTCATAAATCATTTTCATGTGTCTGTCTCGTTCGCACTTACAAGTCTTATAGAGAGGTGTAGTGATGTGCGTAAGAATTGTAGAGGTGCATATTGATAACGGGATAGGTACAATCGATATGCTAAATTATGTTAAATATTAATAATAATATTTTTTTTTTAATCGAGGCAACGTTTTTTTCTCGGGGTCAGTTTGCAATTCTTTTAAAAACAGGAATTGAATTACCGCCCGAGCTTGAACGTTGATGTCACCATTTATTTTCTTTAAAACCACGTTAGAAAATAAATTCTCCATTGTGCATATTGCGTAACGAAGCGTATATAATGTAATGAGTGTCATAACAAAAAATCTTATATTTTTAGAAAAACAACAACCGACCCAAATGCAAGTCGATAGCGGCTTGCATTGCGTGCACATTCCTACTGTCAGTGACATTTATTGCCCGACGACTCAGTTTAAAATGCGTTGACTTCCCTTAATTGTATATTATACATCATTGTGTTGGTGTAATAAAGGAATAATAGCGTTGCATTTAAAAATACATAATACATAGGTGCACAAGCAAATTGCGACAGATCACATGCAGAATCATGTGCACTACGATATTTAGCTACACAAAACGGAAGCAATATAAAGCTGGTAGCGCTACAGAGTAGGCAAAATGTTCAAAAATGTCAAATTTCACTTGTCAATATTACGGCGGGGTTACAGACGATAGCACACCAAATTTTGGAATAAGGATTTTTGACATAAACACACAGATTCTTTCGGGTTTATTTCACTTACAGTTGCGTCAACAATCTCAACTTGAATGCGACCCTGCAACGGCCGTTGTACGCACGGGAAACAAAATATTTTTAAACGATTATGTTAAGCTTATTTGCACTGTAGCGATATTTTTGTAGCTTAACCCTATGTAGAAGCACAATGCACGTCAAAGGTCACAAAAACGCTTTTCACTTGCGATTCAAACGTTTAAAGTTTTCGAATATAATAGAGAAAATAATGGATTATTTAATAAATTAATTTAAAGAGGCTACAAACAATGAAGTATGAATTTAATTATTCGGCTTTCAACCTTATACTATACATTTTAGAGTTGATTTTTCCGTTTGAAGCGCAAATGCACTTAGCGTATTTCGTTAAACACGATTATCCGCCAAACTACCGAGCATCAAAATTGTCTACTTCCTTAGCATTGATGAGATACTTGCAGTCATGCAGACATCGTTGCCTCATCGTTTACAATGAAATACATGTTTTAAATATTAGTCTTCACTCAAATTTTCAGTTACTTTGACACAAGATCGCCAAATCAATGAGATAATTGTTAGTGTTACAGAATACATATGCTTCATGCTTGTATATTACATAATATTTTAAGTATATATGGCCATTATCTAAATAAATTTAATTTAACCTATCCGGATTTCATCTTCACCCATGAAAAAATAAAAACATATTTTTGTGTCGCTGGCAACTTGTCCAAACTCAGATTTTTAAGTCCGTAGAATTCTGACATTTCTCAAGTGTTACTACTTAAAAAAGTTCTCCACCGAAAATGGGACAAATTTGACCCATTTGAGGCAATAAAAAATAAAATGTATTTTTTTTTAACCTCCAAAAAGGTAAATCTAAATATTTACTTACTCAAGTGAACTAATGCACAAATAACAAATATTTCAATACCACGAACAAAATATCGAATTAACTTTTATTACTTTATTTTATTCTTTAGCTGGCATCACTGTCTACTAATTCCAGGTTTAGTAAACCTTTAAAAAAAAAATGTTAGCTGTTAAATGTTATTTTTTACAGTTTGTGATGAAAAGGGACGTAATTTTCACTTGCCGAAAAATGTGGAGCACCGCACTTAATAAGATGGATACATTCACTAACAAATAAAATGTATGTACGAGGGGAGGTCCAAAAGTTCGTGGAATGGAGGGGATGGAGTGGGGATAGGGGCGCTCGCTTAGTGTCATACTAATTGGGGACTCATAATTAGTATATAAATGGAGTTTCAGCCCTATTGCGTCATTCGTTTACGAACACTCGCCTGCTAAACACGTCAATCCGGAAGAAAACTGAAACTATGGAGAAAATTGAACACCGTGCTGTCATTAAATTCCTTACCAAGCAAGGAAAGAACGCTCAGACCATTTTGAATGAAATGGAAACTGTTTACGGGGAACAGTGCCCTAGTAAATCAATGATTTACAAATGGCATGGTCTTTTAAACATGGTCGGGAGTCGATTGAAGACGACCCCCGCTCAGGAAGGCCAGTTGAGGCCACCACATCAGACATCGTCGAAAAAGTGGAAAAAATTGTACTGGAGGACACCCGTTTGAAGAAAAAACAGTTATCTGCATTAGTTGGAGTATCAGATACCACAATTTTGCGAATCCTACATGACCACCTGGGTATGACAAAAGTCAGTGCAAGATGGGTACCGAGAATGCTCACGCCGCTTCAAAAACAGCAGCGCGTCGAAGCGTCAAAACATTTTTTGAGTTGTGTAGCGACGATCCTGGATCGATTTTGGAGCGAATTGTTACCGGCGATGAAACATGGGTTCATCACTTCGAGCCTGAGTCCAAACAAGAGTCCATGCAATGGCATAAAAAGGGGACACCACCGCCAAAGAAATTCAAAGTGTCGGAGTCGGCTGGAAAGTTGATGGCTACTGTTTTTTGGGATTGTGAGGGGATAATACTGATTGATTATAAAGAAAAGGGCAGGACCATAACCGGAGAATACTACGCAACAATACTAGAAAAATTAAAGGATGCCATCAAAGAAAAACGTCGGGGAAAATTGACCAAGGGTGTGTTGCTCTTGCAAGACAACGCGCCGGTTCACAAGAGCAAAGTTGCAATGGCTGCTCTACACACGCATGGCTTCGAATCACTAGTCCACCCACCCTATAGTCCAGATCTGGCCCCAAGTGATTTTTATTTGTTCCCCAATTTAAAAAAAGACTTAAGGGGAAGGAAATTTTCCGACGACAATGAGGTAAAGGAGGCAATTTTGGCTCATTTTGAGGGAAAAGATAAAAAATATTTTTACGATGGTTTAGAAAAATTAATTCATAGATCTAATAAATGTATTCAGCTTAAGGGTGATTATATTGAAAAGGAAAAATAAATTTACTGTTTCATTTTTACTAAAACCCTTTCATTCCACGAACTTTTGGACCTCCCCTCGTATGTCTATACAGATGTTCAGACTCGCATTGAAATTGAAAAATGATTCTAAAAGATTTGTAATCTCTGACAAGTTAAAAAATAATAGCTGTCAGAATTCGACGGAATTAAAAATCATAGTATAGTTTAGACGAAAAGTTAATGCAAATTAAAATTGCGTATTGATTGGCGAATCCTGTGTCAAATGTGTGTTTAAACACTGACCTGGAATCCGGGTGGCAATGGGTCGTGTCTCACAGATAACGCGAGTGTGTTCCCGGGCTGCAATAAAAGTTGAACTGCATCTCTATGCGATGCACCGGCGAGATCGTTTCCGTTGACTTTAAGCAAGCGATCGCCCATACGAAGCTTGCCCGAACGAGCTGCTACACCTCCTGGAACCACCTGAAATTACGGAGTTACTATTGGGATTAAATGTCATACTAATAAGATTTCTATCGAGGTAAAACTAATTGGTTACATTCTGGCTAAGTTCACATGCGCTGCTTGTTATATTATTAGTTATAAGATGTAATTATTTTTATCAATTGATTAATTTATTAATTTATGAAGGTCGTGTAGTTCTATCGTATTAGGGGCTGTCCATTAATCACGTGAGGTTCGAAAGAAAATTTAGGTAAGATAACACGTGTATTATTTTTTTCGTCAAACGCGTGATTTGTAAACCGAAAAGCGACTTAGAAACACAGTTTTATGCCAGTCAAAAGCAACCTGCAACTTTTCTGTCTAGACATTTTTATCATGGTTCTTAATTTTCTAGAATAGGATTAGATATTTTATACTGGTACTTTAAAATAATGTTATAAAAATTTTAAGATTTGCAGGTACTAAAAAATACAGGTGATTTTTGGTTGGGTAAACTTCACCACATATCACCATGGGCGAGGGAGGGGTTAAATAAAAAAAAACATCACGTGATTAATGGACAGCCCCTTAGTAAGTGTAATTATAGAATTATTATGTGGAAAACAAATAAATGAAATTTGTATGAGCGTAAAGGAAAATTCACGTAAAATATTAACCATGTGTGAAAAGAACTTGACTTTTTGTGTTCTATTTAAAAAATCTGAAATCCTTTACCTAATTTATTAAAAACTTACATGTGATATAAATATTCCAGGTTCCTTAGCGCCAAACGGAACGCACGAGTGATCTGTCCCTCCAATAATACTGAAGCCTAGTGAACCACCCTCTTTAACCAACGTCACGTCCTAGAACAATTTCATCTTAAAGTTTAGTTCGGATACAAATTAATTTTTCATTTAAATACATCAAGCATAAAAGAGAAATTCAATTATTTAGTAGGAATATATGCCTTTTGAGTACGTACTGAAGTTGTTTATTCCTTGTATCTGGGAGATATTGTAAATTATCAAGGCAAAGAGTCCATACAACAACTAACTTTTCAAAAACCATAATTACTATTCGGCCATACTCTTATGGCATTGTTTAAAGCATCCCTTAACAGCTAGAAACTGTACATAAATAGCGTATTTCATCGAACTGCCGTGGAATCGAGCTCAATTTCCACGAAGTTACGATAAAACTTATATATACTATAATAAATAACAAGCTTTCTATGGATATAATATTAAACATATGTCGCGGAATGTAGAAATGACCATCACGATATGGCCGATCAATTGATAATAAATAGGGTTTGGTATTTTTGTCTTGCTCTGGTGCCTCTTAGAGAAGAATGTCTTCTTAACTTTTTAATACTAATCGGCTGCTGGTATTTAAAAAAAAACACGAAGACTTTTTTGTATAAGGCCTCACTGTTATACGCCTATATCTTTTAACGAATATGTCAAAATCTCACATATTTCTGTCCTATAAATACTAACGTATTTGAAACTAAACGACAGCACGTATAGAATCTGTTAAAGGTTTTCACTTTCAAGGTGTCAAAAACTGACATTTGACTATAACTGACATTATTGTTTTAACTGTGAAAGGCGTGAACCCTTAGCGGTTACTTTTCCGTATATTCTTGACAAAACTATCGCAGAGCGGTATCGTGAATAAATGTTTTATTAATTATTTATGTAAAAGATTTATGGTAGAGTGCCCATGACTTTAGCGGTATCTGTTAAACACAAACTTTTACTGATCTGGCCAGGTTATTTGGACAAATAGAACTGACTGTTTCTGCTTTTGGTCACATCATGAGATAATCATTTCTACGATCGGTGTATGACATATACAAATAGCTAAAGTAAATACATAGTAAATCAACTTTTAAGATACCTGAGCAACTGTTTTCAATTACACGTCTGTATTTAAAAAAATAGGAAATTACTATTTAATCGTATATATTCATTTCGATTAAATTCTTTATTTTTTATATGTTAAAACTTTTAAGACCATAAATATGATATGACCCAAAATATCTGTTTTGCTATTTTCGATATTACAAATTTTCAAGTAATTCCCTACTATTAAGTTCGTAATACGAGGGTTACTACAATAATAGTATATACCTACCGATTTCAATAAAATTTTGTATTAATAATACCTTAATTGAAATATCAAAAATCTTTGCAGTAGTCTTTGAAGAGAAGAATTTTTAACTCAATGTTCTGAAAACTCTAATACATTCACGTTAATAAGTATACTTTTTCATTGAACAATGTATACTGAATAATACACGCGTCTATAAATCGTTATCCCGTTAAAAGTGAAGTCAGACACACAGATATCTTACTTCTATGATCAAGGGCGTCGCTAGGTGGTTATCTGTGACCCGGGTGACCGTCGTCTCGGTGAAGGTGGACTTGGTGATGGTCTCAGTGACGCGGCCGAGGGCGGAGGGCGCGGGAGGCAGAAGCACTTCGGCCTGAGGCCGCTCCACGGTGATGCGCAGGCCCTGAGCAGGCGGGGCCGGAGCCCGAGGCCCGCCCAGGAAGTGAGCCGGGATCATCGCTTGGAACTCCTCGTTCGTGATCGGCCGCGCCGGCTGCTCTCAACACGTTCACATCGCATCAATTTCGTTGGAAAACTCGATACGGTAACCGTTATTACTAGCATTTATTTTTATTTTACAAATATTCATATTTACGAACAACTAGGTATAGGTATATTTTTATATTTCAAATAAAATCACGTAAAATTCCTCAACTATTAAGACACTACAACTAAAAATAAATTTTGAAATTAATGTTGAAATTTCACTTTATGAAAACGAAAGTTAGACCAGATCTAAAAATATATTTTTCTTATCTTTGAAATAAGTTTAATAAGTTTTACTTCAAGGTTACTACTAATAAGGCTAATAAATTACTTCAATAAAATTGAATATTAACTAAATAAGGGTACCATAACGAGTTTTAGTCGCGATAACTACGATGACAACTAGTTTTTAAATTAAATCTATTTATTTTAATTCAGTCCCCTGCCATATGAAACACTATTCATTCACATAAACACTACAATTTTATCTGCAAACAAATCCAGATATCTTAACAATGATGTTAATGAGAATGACGATTAATATTTGGATTTGAAACTCTAATATGATAAGCGTAAGGTCTATAATGCAGTGAAGTCCAAACCAATAGTTTTACAATATCATCACCTATCATCACGAAATATGAGCTCTTTATTTCGAGACGAAACAGTTTTGATATCGAACTACCGGCTGGACTATATATAGTGCACGTGTAAAGCAATTTAAGCAGGACAAGCTTACGTTCCACTTATTACTAGTCATTTTAACGTGACTATAAATAAGCGTTTAAAGTCCTTATGTTGCATGGATGTGAACGTGTTAAGCCGATAACCATCACCACATTCCGCCATATGTGTGCGAAAGATATTGATTGCATTTACATATTTCAATATACGTCACAGAACCATAATAACTTTTAGACCAGACTTTATTATTTTTAAATATATTTGTAGCTAAACTTAAAAAAAAGTTAATTAATTGTCTGGTCTATAAGTCATCACATATAGGCCGCTACCAATACGTTACCTGTATGTCGTCGAAGACATCGTCGTTAGATCCGTGCAATCTACCGGCGGGCGTTAGAGGCGTGCTCGCACTGTTAGTTGGCTTCCTTTCCGCCTGCAGTAACAATTATTTATTAACGCAAGCGGGGAAAGCTACTAACTACTAATGTACACTATACTACATTAGGTTAGTATTATATATTACATTTTAAATCTATGATACAAACAAGTATCAAAATTTGTATGCCGAATACAATTTTTCAATTCGTCTTAAAAATAATTGCCATACGTTCAACACATATTTCAGCCAAATATCAAAACTTTTAGTACAAATCATTTCTTACACCTGAAAAATAAATGTCTTAAAAATACCGTCATCACATATTTCGGAAAAGTATCAAAACTTCTTATAACACTATATATTTATACCGTTAATCTGACAAATAACAAACATAATAAATGTTTTAATAAAACATTTCTTGCATTGATAAACTTATAAATAATTTCAGATAAAGTATCAAAACTATTTAACAATACATCTTGCAGCAGTCATATAAAAAAACCTTTTCACGTCCTTACCGTTCCGTTGGTTTGACTAAGTTTCCTTGGCGCTGGTTGGGGCGGGATATTTTGTGGCTGTATGTTAAGTTTTAGTGGGGCTTTTGGAGCGATTTGTGGAGCAATTTGTGGGGCAATCTGTGGGGCAATCTGTGGGGCAATCTGTGGGGCAATCTGTGTCGTAACTCGTGGGGCTGTGTGGTTATGTGATACGTGATTTGCAATTGGTTTATTCGAATTCAAATTGGTGAGACTTGTTTTGTGCTCTCTCACATCTTCAGACGTCGATTTCCTGGCTAGGGCGTCCGCTGAAAATTTTAATTAATCAAATTAGTAATGTAATATTAAAATAAATCTCTTATTGAAAAAAAAAAAATCCAAATCAGGTAATATGTGGAGTTCAATTTTTTTAGTACTAGTACTTACGTTATGATTAAATTAAAGTTAAAGATAAATTCCTAAAAACAGTAATAGTTAAGAGTTTAGTAAAGTTAACACGCATAACAATTGATAATGAATCTGTACACGATAATTCAAATGAAAAATCTTATCAAAAATATATTTTTCATAAAATCACCTTGTTCAGGAGTGATACTACGTTGAAGAACAAGTCTGACGAATCTCTCGTGACCCGTTAGCAACGCCACAACCGCTTCGTGCGAAGCGTTCTCCATGTCAACACCATTTATCTAAAATATAAAAAAAAAACTATATTTATTGCAGTAGTTTTACATAGAAAATAATCCTGTTAATATAAAAAAAGTTTTTTTTTAATCAGTTGAATAAAGTTGTATAGTCAACTCTCAACAGTATGCTTTAAATAATTTCTATTAGGTCCTTACATATTGGGGTTTTGTATGGGAGGAACAAAAAGTAGATTTTATTTTTGCTATGTATGCACTTTTGCATCTTATAGTTAATTGATCCTTTTACTAAAAAAACATTCGGACGGACTACAGAGTTGAATTGTTGGTGATGATCGTTGTTTTCGATAAACGAATGCACAAGTAAATAGATGTAAAAAAAATTCTTTGCAATTCCTAACCAAAGAGGAGATATTTGAGGTCAAAGTGGCCAGTGTGACCTAATATTCTTTTCACTCTTTTATTTACTATTCACATATTTATTGAGTTATATAAACATTACATCTGCTACAGTTCATATATTTTGTTTGTTTTCTCTTGAACGACCCATATATATATATATATATATATGTATACAAATATAATAAAGCAGAAATCTATATTATATTGTCAGACATAAAGCAGGCTAAACTTCACTTAAATATAGCTTTCTCTATTAATGCTATGAAATGAAATGCTATTCTTATAATGCTTAGGAGAGTTTCTGCGTCGGGAACGTATCTTCAACGATTTAGCGAATCACCATACTTATAAAACTAAGAAAGGCTTGGCTCAAACTTTAATGGTATAATATAAACACCATGTCTTTGTAGACTCAGTAGTAAAATACCTTTTTTAATAAAAAAAAACCATTAACACCATACACCTTAATTATAAAAACTTTTATATCAGTATTAGAAATCTATTAGTATTATCATAATAAATGAAAATTGTTCTTACCGACACAACTTTATCTCCGACAGCCATCTTTCCGTCCTTAGCGGCTGCCCCCCTGTGGGGATATCCGAGAGACATAAATAGCGTCACTGTCATCTCTGTACGGAGGAGATCCTTTTCCACCAGCTATGCTGAAGCCGAGCCCGGCACCGTCACGAATAAGCGTCGTGTGTACTAGGACTTTTTGGTAGTACACTGAAATTTTTTAAGTATTTTTTTATATTTTATGTAACAGAACTTTTTTTGTAATTGTCACTTAAATTTGACCAAACTCTCTAACTAAGTTATTACTTACTGAATAAGAAAGTTAGCTTATTTGATACTACAAAAACTTATTTTATAAGAAAAAAGATATATTGACTGTAGACCAACCAATGTCAAAGAAGTACAAAAACTGCTACTTAATAAATTTGACAGATCTGCAAAAAATACTTCTAGTTTTGCCTTGAAAACATTGAATTATATTATTTAAATTTAAAATTTACCCGGCGGTATATAAGGTTGCGTAGCGGGAGGTGGTGAAGCTTCAAGTCGGTGATAAGTGGCTGGAGTGGGTGAAGGAATAGGTGATGACGATATAATCGGACTCGTAAACTGCAATTGGTCCTTCTGTTCCGGCTCCAACTCTTGTGCATACTGATTGGTGATGATTAACTGCTTCGTTGGTATACCACGACCGGTTAGTATCTGAAGGTTTAATTTTCAAATATTAGATCTTATATTTAGTAATTTAATAGCTTATTGAATCTAATTAATTTGATATTAACAATATTGACGAAGTCAAACTATTATTATGACTAAGCGCAAATAAGTTTCTAATATAATCCTTTAAATAAAAAATAAATCAGTGGCGCTACAACGTCTCAGATTTCTAAATCTGTTTCATGATCATTTTTCAATCTAATAGGCAAGTAGGTGATCAGCCTCCAGGGCCTGACACACGACGTCGACTTTTTGGGTCTAAGACATGTCGGTTTCCTCACGATGTTTTCCTTCACCGTTCGAGCAAATGTTAAATGCGCACATAGATAGAAAGTCCATTAGTGCACAGCCGGGGATCGAAACTACGACCTCAGGTATGAGAGTCGCACGCTGAAGCCACTAGGTCAACATTGCTCTAATCCTTAGATTAATTTAAGATTTAAATACCGTTTTCCTTTTTTGTTTCACCGAAATCCAAACCTAGAATTTTTATGAAAGATCTGAGTTACGCCTTTGTCCAATACGTAAGGGGTAGATAATTACGCAATATTGAGTGAGCCAATGATTATTTTAGAAGTTCGACAGTATATATTGTGTATAAAGTCTGTAATCAATACTATCCGAGAGAGATATACAGATAAGGTAGGAATGCGATTACCTGTCCATTCTCGAGAGTTGATACTGTATCGGCTGTAGATATTGAGTGATGGCTCGCTCCACTCGGTGCACGGCTATGCGTTCTGAAATATTAAGTTATAAAACATCTGTATAGTGAAGTTTGAGGTCTTTTAATATAATAAAATTATTATAATTGAGAAAATTTAACACCTTATTTTAATTTTTATAATCTGTAAATTAGCTAAAAATATAATATAAAAAAGGATGTTATCGAAGTATTTTATCATGGTATAACACATCATTATCTGCATACCAACGACAATTCGGAATCACAGTAACTTAAATTAAGATAGTTTCATAATATATATGGTTGCTTTATTCATTAAAAAATTGGCAAAAGGGGTGTGTAGAGTACCAGAATCATTCAGTAGAATAAAATATATTTTTTTTACAAACGGCTATACATATAATATGTCTACCTGAATTCCTCCATTACAACTCTCCTACAGTAAAAACAACACACTTCAAGTACCAAGCATTGTTATATCATGTCTAGAACTTTCAGATTACACTGTGCGATATGAATTATGAAGCGCTAAAATATAGTAAATACCTCGTCGACGTAGGAGACTCCCTGGTGACAACTAACGTGAGTGTGGCTCCACTTGCCTTTAGAACTTCCACGGCGTAGTAATGGTCTACTTCAATAACAGACGTACCGTTAACGGATAGTACTTTATCACCAACCTGTAAGTATTTTCAAGCAGTTTAGGGAGCGTTCAAGTATTACGTAATGAATTTGGGGGGTGGGTGTGTGTGTGTGTGTACTTTCCAGTACTTTACACTACATAATGGTAACAGTATTGTACTTGGGTACAGTTAACAACATTACGGCGCGTTACATGCGACGGGGGGGGGTCAATAATCTCCAAAAATTACGTGACGTAATACTTGAACGCTCCCTTAGACGATAGTTAGTTTTTGGCCACATTTAAGACAGAAAATATTATCATTTATGAAATCAATAAAATCTTTCTTATTTATTCTGTAATATAGACTATTGGATGTTATCTTTAGTTAACATCCAATAGTCTATATAAGTATATAAGTCTGCGTTAGCGCTAAATCACGATTCAGCCTCACCCGTATCTTCTATTCTAGGGACACGATTTCGGAAGACAATGAAAAGTCAGCGCAATAAATGTATTGAGTAGATTAAGAACTCAAACCCAATTGAAGTGCGGGACTCTTCCATGTTTAATAAAATTTTCTTATCAAACTGTTGTTTCTTACACAATGAATTTTGTTTCAAACTCGGGTTAAACGTGAACAAACCAAGTGCGTGACGGTGCTAAGCAGTTGGGGCATGAATCTGTGAAATAGATTCACGATAATGCCCTTTCAATGTAACTGTAATCTTTAATAGAAACAATATCCAACAATTGTTTTGCGGTTAAAGTCTTGGTTTTTATAATAAACCGCAAATTTAGCAAAAACTCGTTTCGCTTAAAATCAAATACCTTTTTTGTTCGTCGTAAAATTTAGGATCTATTACTTGGATTATGGTAAATGTTGTAGTGCTCATTAATTACTTACCCTAAGTCCAGCCTGGTAAGCTGGACCACTAGGCGTGACCCGCGATATGAAGATGCCTTCGTCATCACCGATGTAGGGCGTAGATCCTCTGCCTCCAGCTATACTGAGACCGAGACCTCCCGCCGCTCGGGCAATCCTTACTTCCATACATCTCTGCTCGCCTGGTATTCTTGTTTCGCTTTCAGGACGATCCGATACTGATTCACCTGTACAAAATATTATTTTTGTGAATAGTTTTTCCCATTATATTTTTAGCTCAAAACTCTTAAACTTAGATTTTAATGGCGAAGGTTTGAACCTTTCGAAAACATCTAGAAATCATTTGTATGCAATTCAATTGAAAATGATATGTGAGCAAAGTTAGAAGACTAAAATAACCTCGTTTCTTTATATAAAAGGTAAGGTATGTAATGGCTTCTGTTGATATATTTACCACAAAATCTAACTCTAATTCTTTATTTTATTATCTCTATATTTTGTATCTTATTTGTCTATATGTAATTATAGATTTTAACTTTGCTATGACCTTTACCTATTATTAACGTTCATTATAACAACACCAAGAAACAAAACATCAGTATATCATTCAAAATTCCGCCAAATAAATTATTATCGACAAACGTTTCAAAGTACCATACGAACAATATTTACCCTGTGAACATATCATGTGTGTGCAAAAATTCTTTAAAACAATAGAGCATTAGTCAAAGTGAAGGACATTTATAGACAGAATATTGTTTTTCGGATTGCATCATAGAATAAGCGGCAAATTAAAACCAATTTAGCCGTAAGCCGAACCTCATAAGTCAAATCTAATACCGGTTTTGAATAACGTGAGAAGCTACATTTACTTAGAACTTTCGTTACACAAATACGTATTCATTATTCTAAAACAATTTATATTAAGCTGAGGCAAGTTTTTTAAGTTCCGGCACAATTTTAGGAATTATTTCTGATCGATTCATTTCCTGTAAACTATTTCCCGTGATTTAAGATTGATTTGAACGGAGCAGTTTAATTAATTGAGACCAGTATCTTACAAGTACCAGGGATGCATAAGCAAATAAGAGCTAATTAAAGTGGGCGTAAGGGTATGTCAGTAATTATTGGTCCCTTGATAGTGTTAATGCGTCCAAGGATGCCGCTACAATGTATTGAACAAGGTAACGTGAATACCCGATCACCAAATGTAGTCACGAATATAACATTTCATGATAACAAATGTTTCTTACTTTACATTCGTTCCAATTGAATAGTAAAATAAAAGCAATATTACGTGTAACCTCTTTATAACGTCATTCGGTATAACGACAAATCTCTCTATAACGTAGAAAGAGTTATTTTTAATTATTTCTTTATAACGTAACAGCCATTCTCTATAACGAAGAATTATTTTCATATTTAGGACATCAACAACATACTTAAGTGTTTTTTTTATTATCAGCTTACAAAACTAACTTTTGAGGTGCCGAAATTTCTAAGAAAAACACCTGAGGTCATTAACAGCCGTCTCGCCTTTGTTATTGTTAATTGCATTAACACGTGTGCCATTATTTATTTGTTAATTATTCTTAGATTACATTGCCTGTAGGAAATTTTTGTCTCAGTTACTAAACGCACCATCGACACCTATCGTGTATTATCAATCGTAAACAAACTTTGAAACTGTCAAGATGTCCAGTAAACAAAATAATTTACCTATTGATAGTAATAAAATTATAAATTATTGTAATTGGTTAAATTTGTATTTTTCTCTCCTCTCCCTATAACGAAAACAGAACTCTATAACGAACAAAGAACGTTATAAAGAGTATTGTATATAGTAAATCCGCAAAATCTCACGCTATAAGTTTAGTAATTATTTTTAATTACATGTAAAAAGGCTAAAGTAAAACAATAATTCAGAGATAACAAACGGCGACAGCATAAACTCATTTGTAAACAAGAGTTCACACGACAATCAAGATGAAGCGAGAAATTACGTCCGCCCTATCCCTACAATAGCCAATCATGACTTTCACTCAATCTCAATTGTATCAAGTCGTGATTTAAGAAGGACTCGTGACCATAGTTTATCGGTAGTCTTTATTTCATTGGGAAACACTCTAGGAATGATAATTTACGAATCGCAATAGACAGGTGAAAGTACGGTATAACAAAGGCCAGGGAAGTAAATGGGCGAAAATCGATGCAGAAAAAGCTACGGACAGTTAAGACAAATAGCGGGGAGATTAGATTTAATGATTGCTGTAACTAATGGTTAAACGTTCCGAGCTCCCGTCTCCAATCACGATAACGTAATTGATAAATACAGTTATAAATAAACCTCGGTTATGTTATGATATTTACTTATTACTTATACCATAAGCTGTTAGATGACGTCGTAAGGTCTTGTGTTATAAGGATCCACGCTAACTCTGGAACATATCTAATTACAGTACGTTCCCAAAATGTACAACAAAAAATATTTGAATATTTGTTTGAACACTTTTAGAGAAGAAATATGTAACACTGTTAGCACTGTTATAAAATATTTTTTTCATTATGTATGTATTAAACACATCTTTATATTATTGTAGTGCAAGAATACAAAAGCGATATTGTATATCTTATCCAGTTAAATTATATACATATTTTATTTCGACATTAACGTATTGGTACTGAAAATATAGTGGACTAGTGGACCCCACAGACGTTGTCCTGCATGATATTTAAAGCGATTAGGATATTAAGCAAAGAATGAAAGTACCGACTGCAGTGCCATCTGCCGGGCTGATTTGTGAATCTAAACCGTTCCCAGATCCCCTTGAACACACACAAAAAATTTCATCAAAATCGGTCCAGTCGTTTGAGAGAAGTTCAGTGACATACACACTCACAGAAGAATTATATATATAAAGATGTACTTTTATTAATAAATAAATAAACCTCGTATCGTGAAGCCTGTAGGAACAGCTAATAACTTATTAAAGCATATTATAATTGATACTATATACAATAAAAGGAAAAAAGTACCAACATACTCAAGCAATGCCATTTAGACTTTAGAGAATATTACCAGCTCAAATCAGTATTCATATCACGTTTAAATGAATAGCATTTGCATGGATATTTTTTGTCTGAACCAATGCCAAAGGTTACAACAAATACGTGTAAAAAACGAAGCATTTATATTTTATTTAAGCAAATAAACGGAACAAAATATAATTATTTCGTGTATACGACTTTTAGACTTTTCTTTAGTCGTAAACTTTACAAGTCAGCAGTGCGATTCTCATCCTTCAGGTTCTAGGGTTGATCAATGCTAAAGACTGTGGACTTTCTCTGTACGTGTGCATTTAACACTCACTAGTTACAATGAATTAAAATATCGGAAGAAAACCGGCATGCCTTAGACCCAAAAAAGACGAGGGCTTGTGCGCGGCAAAGGAGTATTTACCTATTTGCCTTAAAAAACCTGAGGCCCAGGCTTAAAGATTGTAACGTAAAAGACTTCCCAAGTGAATAAATGTCCAAATATTTATTAACTGAAAACTTAAAGGACAAACAAAATTATATGGTACAGGCAAATAGATACTATTAACAATTGCGTTTACTTCCTACAAGTACGGCGCCAAGAAGCAATAATGCCAAGTTACCATATGAATAAATCCAATTAGGAAGCTCATACAATTTAACTTTAACGAGGTAAAGTTTCAAGGAAGTCCGATCATCGGCTATCTATTTCAGAAGCCATACGCAATCATCCGTTGCAACGTAAACATCTAATCTCAAGATTATATTACAGGAAAGTGTCAATGGGTAATTGTTATTTCTTTACTTTCTTTATCTCTAATATATAAAAATGAATTGCTGTTCGTTTGAAACGAGCTCGACATAACACGAATGGCTGACCGATTTGTGATCTTGAAATATTTGTGGCGAAGACGTCAACGTTGGGAAACATAAATAATAAGTAAAGAAAATTATAAAAACGACAATTATATTTTCCAATAAATGTCTTTTTCTTTTAGAAATAAAAAATTGTCACGTTCGGTTGTCATATATTTGAAAATGCCTTCAGAAATTTGTGTTTCATAGCTGTAGTATGAGTATCTTTGGTCTCTCTTGGGTCAAGTAGTTGTAGATGAAATAATTGAAAATGCCCGATTACTGCTAAAGACAAGGATAGAACAGACAGACATTTCCAGATATACTAATTAATAACTAATTTAAGTATCCGTTATCTTTTAATGAAAGACTCTAACTACGGCTGTTAGTCAACTAGCAGTATAATTTTATTTAGATAACATGGGGTAAACGGGCGGGAGGCTCACGTGATGATAATTGAGGCTGAATATGGACACTCTTAAAGCCAGTGCGAGTGCGTTGCCGACTTTTTAAGAATTGGTACACTCTTTTCTTGATGGACATTAGTCGAATTGGTTCGGAATAATTCAGTGTGTAGCCGGTTCCACATAGTGGTGGTGCGCGGCAAAAACTGTCTTAAATTACGCGCAGTCGTGGAACGACGGACGTCGAGGTGATACGGGTTGAATTTCGTATTCAGCATCGACGTCCGATGACAAAACTCGGGTGCAGGTAGCTTATAAAACAAATTGAACATTTTGGTAGATTTAAATCCTTATATCGATTACGTCATACGCAACAATGACATCATCACAACAATCATCATACGCAATTACGAAATAACTTTAGGGTAAATACATAAACGATGACCGCATCACAACGAGTACATTGTTTACCTTCACACCTGCGCATGGCTACTATAGTTAAAACACAATAATTTTTGTACATTATGTTTACGAATTGTCATTTATACAGTTAAACATATACGGATAAAACAAATCTCTTAAGCTAGACTAGCTATCCTTTTAGGCTACTTTTACTATCGTCGCTATCTTAGAATTGAACCTAGGTGTATGAAATACCCCTGATAGTGCCATTACAGATATTAATAGCAAAAAACAATTATGCAGGAAAAAACAAAAAAACAGTGCCCTTTCACTTGCTTGTGAAGGCCTTAATTAAAATAGTAGATGAAAAGTGATTAAAATTAAATTTTCCATAAATCTAAACCATATATCAATCAAATATTTGAATGTAAATCCTCTTAGAACGAACATAAATAATCTATGCCATAAAACAAAGTTAGAGGTAGAATGTTAATTGATGAACAGTTTAATAACTCTGAAATAAAGGTTCATATTTTAACATGTAATAATATTCATATTTTAATTAAAAATTAAACTTATTTCTTTTATAGTATCAAATTTTAATATAACTTAGGTCAGTGCCCCAGGATAGTACTAGGGTTGAATGAATTGAAGAGTATTTGAAGCATGTTAATATAAAAAAAACTAGGTTCATCAATGCAGCCGCCTTATGGTATGTTAGGAATGTCACCTGTCGCAAAATGTCAATACAAACAATTCAACATATGATAAGTATGGAATTCTTGTACCGGCTTAATACTCTTGCTTATTCAAAGTATTTTAAAAATATTCGGATCAATGTTATACTATTAATATTACAAAATAGCTGCACACGGAAAGCGACTTCCTTAATCCCTGTACATTATTTATTTTTGAACTAAAATATATAAGTATCGCAATACGGCGAGGAAATGCTGCCACAAGGACCACATTTTTGAAATTTGTTTCAGTTTTCTATTTATCCAATTTTATTATTATTAATATACATTTTAAGAATATTGTCACAACTATATTTGTACATTTTATCTATATAAAATACAAGGAAACGAACGATTGAAATTGTTTTTCGTATTTAGCAAAAGTATGTATAAAACAATTTATATGAACCAATACAACTTACGTTTTTTCCGCCTTATAACCCCCATATCCGTAACAATTATTTCCTCTAATCGCTTATAAACTTAAACAAATGCACTAACAGTCATCGTCCACACACAAAACCGGATTATATGTAAACAATATCAGCTTGTACGCGCGCCTCGAGGCTCTATGACGGAATGCGCCTAACTATATCCCAACTTCCAAGATGAGAGGCTGTGGCGCCTCGCCCTTCTCCCCTCGATTAAAAATAGAAAGCAACCTGCCGCATACCAATTCCTTTTTTATTTCATCCTCGCGTCTGTTACAATAAGATAATTAACGCCATGATACTTCAGAGGTAACGTTATTTATAATTTTTATACGATAAATAACACACATTCTGGACGTAAAAATAAGTCTGAGTTGCGTAGGTAAGTAAGTATTTTTTAATTAGGAAAAGCTTATTCCTTTAACGTGAATATTGTTCCCATATCCTGTTTGTAAAACTATATTTTAACTAAATTTTAACAAGATATATAAAATTAAAAAGTTGTTAGAAACATTTGTTTGCAACGACAGAAATATATGTATAATTATTAGCATATAATGAATAAATTTAAATAAATTAACGTCAAGGTCATTTTAAAACACTTTTTGTCGTGTTAGACCAGTGTCGATAATTTTTGAAACCTAAAAAAATAATAGTAGGATGAAACCCATTGGAAAAGGAGGAGAATATTATAAAAATTAAAGGAAAAATAATTTACTAATTTTTTAATAAAATAATTATAATATTCTCCTCCCTTTCCAATAGGTTTCATCCTACTATTATTTTTTTCACTTTTTATTTTTTTTAAAGGCTTTCTACCCTGGTCTATGTATGAAAGCTACATTTGAGGCACATAAAATTATAAAAGGAAATTCTAGAACGCATTAATTTCACGCGTTCATAGTAAAAACGCACTCGTACGCACCTCTAATTAGGTATTAATTTAAATATAATCGACAAGCGACGTCTTACAATTTACTGTAAGTGAAATTAGAAACCGTCGAGGATACCGCTCACTTTAACTGATTATTAAAAACAGGATGGTAACTAAAAGGCAGCTATCAGTACAGTGCTTGGGGCCTCCGCTAAGTCAACCCTCTCTAGAGTTCAGGGTCCAACATTTCTTACAATGCCTTAATAGAGCGTTCAAATATTACGTAACACACATTTTTGCCGCACACCACCAGTACGTGGAACTAGCTTCCCAATGTATTTCCGGTACAATTCGACGTTGGGTTCAAGAAAAGCGCGTACCAATACTTAAAAGCCGGCAATGCACTTGCGAGTCCTCTGGAAACGTGAGTGTCTATAGCTTAACTTAACATCAGATGATTTACGTAATACTTAAACGCCCCTTATCCTTGTTACATTGAATCGTATTTTATGAATAAATAGTTTTCTTTGGGGCGTCACCAAAATGCTTTGAGTGTGGTCATCGTTTATTTTTGAAAATTCCCTAATGTTGAAGGCCTGACGGGGCCTTTTAAACCTGGGCCTCGTCGCTTTCGCCCGCCATGTACGCCACTGGCATAGGTGGTCTACATTTGTATGAATAAATTACCATTTAATCTGCAGGTTAAATATATTTTTATCCTTAGAAACTTTATAATACTTTCGCGCTCTTTTATTTTAATTTCATTAAAACAATGACCGATTTCACTTTTATAATTAAGTGATTCATTTCAATTGTGAATTCAAAATTTTTATATTCCAGTTTTCTACTTGTTTCGTCTATATAGATAACTAGCGGACCCGATAGATGCTATCCTATACACGTCATAAATACAAAAAAAAATCGTCTAATTGTAAACCATTCTCGAATCCAACTCACATATAAATTACATCAAAATCGATCCAGCTATTGAGAAGATTAATGACATACACACGCACAAAATATTTATATAAGTAAATTAAGTAATTATTTGTAATTGTTTCATCAACACGATATTTAGCAGAATTTATTATAAATTAATATAAATACATATTTATTGATTTATTGACACTAAACATAAACAGCTTTTTCTGAATAGTAAGGCACTTTTAAAAGCTCAATCCAAAGTAAAGTACCGTAGCTCTGAGTACGAAGAAACTGATAATTTCCTTAATACCCCATCCGAGACAAAACATTTTGTTAAATAAACTTACAGTTCATATAACGGTAGATTTTTAGTGAATTTACAGAGAATTTCGAAACGCTTTTGTTTCGCAAGTGTACGTGATATGAAATTTATATCCCGTAGCCGTGGGCTGCTTACATTATTGCAACACTTGTAAAGTATTGTTAAAATAATTAATATAGTATTAAGATAATTTTGACACTTTAGTATATATATAAGACAATAGTCTGTATTTCAATAGCAAACAAGAGGCTAAATAAAACTTCTATTTGTTTCTCTGTAAATAAAGAATGCAATTTTATTTATCGAGTAGGTTACACACTGATACAATCCTTACAAGACTAACACAATCTTACCTGTAAATAAAGAAACGACAATAAAAGTTCATTGTTATCACCTCTCGATGCATATAGCTTAACTAAGTATTAAATTAATTTACAAATAAGATTAAAATACAATTCAACAATCTCAGCATATTTGCCCTTTACATCTTTGACAATGTCAGCTAGCTTGACGTGACACGACGCGGCTCACTCACGAACTAGCAGTGCGCGCGAATATTCAAATTAAAGAGATCATTCTCTTTACATCTCCCTCCTCCAGGATGAGAATTGCTCCAGTAATTCTCATGGTAGCCGTACATATTATTCAGCGTTATCCATCATTTATTCCACCGTCCATTCGAATAAGTTTTGTTATATGGTATAAGCTTGTATTAGTTTTTGTTCTGCCTGTGTTTATTTTGTATATTGTATTCGATATTTTGTCTGTTATTTCAAATGGGCCGATTCTTAAATTGTCCATTTTCTTCCTATTTAATTTGTTTCCGTTTTCAACATATACCAGTTCTCCTATGTTGAATTCCCATTGTGTTCTGCCTTTATCAAATAATTTCTTATTATATGCATGTGATCTAATTGATCTTTCAAGTGCTTGTTGTCTATTTTGAACCCATGTTTCTGTATCTAATGGTTGTCGTAGTTCTTGTGGCAAAATACTGGTGACTTTTCCTTCTAATAGATATACTGGTGCAAAGCCTGTCACTGTGTGCTCGGTTTCATTATACTTATCTATACATTCTCTTGCAATTGACGTCCAGGATTTCTTTTCATTCTTCTGATTTATTTTGCACCTCATTTTGTTAACCAGTGTTTGGTTCAATCTTTCGTTGAGTCCGTTTGAAAATGGTGTATCTACCGCAGTAAATATTAGTTTTACATCATTATCTGTCAAAAATTCTTTGAATTCTTTTGAATTTAATCCTGGATACTGATCTGCTAGTAATATCTCAATGTTTTCCGTCTCCAGAACTTTTTTACTAACTTGATGAAATCTGAAGCATTTTGCGTTTTTGATGTCAGAATGAACGCAAATCTTGTAAAATGATCAACTAACAAATGTAGGTATTTCTTTGTTGATCTTTGTCCTCCAAAGCCACCAATGGTATCTATCGACATTATCTGAAATGGTTTTTCGGCTGGTCCCAGATGTGACATTAATCCGTATTTATCCTGGCCTCTCGATTTATTTTTTATACAGGTTTCACAATTTTTGCATATTCTTTTAATGTTTCTCGTTAAATTCTTTGCTGTATAATAAGGACTGATTTTATTTATCATTTGGTTGATCCCTAAATGACACCATTCGGTGTGTGTTTCCTTTATTAATTTCACACTCGCTTCTTCAGATAATATAACTTTTTCTCTGTTTCGATCTTTTTTGTATAGTATCCCATTTCTTTCGATTATTTTGGTTTTCTTTTCCTTTATTTTCTCGTTTTTCTGCTGATCTGCCTTAATA